AACTGATACATTAAGGTTAAGTAGGTCTGAAACAAAAATTCAAAATCCATAATGTTTTCTTTAGTGAGTAATAAAGAAACAAAAATCAAGACTACATAGTAGACCCTCAGATAAAATTCCACACAAATATGCAGTAAAAATGTTATTTTGATGACTTATACATTAGTTACATATTGCTGTGTAATAATCACTCCAAAACAAGAACATATTATCTCTCAGCCTCCCTGTGGGTCAGACCTGGAGCAGCCTGGAGATGTCTCATGAGACTACAGTTCAGTATTGGTCGGGTGTACTGTTTTCAAAGACTTGACTGCTTTGGTGGAATCCACTCACTCACGTGGCCACCTGAGAAGCCAGATGATGCTACCAAATTGGTGCCCCCTCCTCAGGCCTCTCGGAGAAGCTGCTTGAGTGTCCTAATGGCCTAGTGGCTGATTACCCTCGAGCAACTAAACCACAAGATCAAGGAGATCTTCAATGTCTTTGGTGACCTAACCTTGGTGACCTAACTTTGGTGACCTCCTCCACCATATTTTATTGGTCATTTCCCTCAGATGGCTCCAAATACCAGGGGGAGAATACATTAGCAATGACAAGATTAAGTTATCAGGAAAAGAAGAAATATCTGATGACATTATACTTTTTTTTTACAATCATATTAAATTTTAAGAAATAATGGGATGTCTATAGGACACTGAAAATGAAAACACAACCCAGGAACTCCAAATAGATAAAAATTTCACACAGGAGTCAGTGTAACTGAAAGGTACTCTCTGGCCAGTGAGATGGTTTGGTGGGTAAAGGCCTTTGCCACCAAGTTTGATAATCTAAGTTCAATCCCCAGCCCCACATGGTGGAAGGAGACAACTGACTCCTGCAGATTGTCCTCTGACCTCCATGGGCACACTGTGGGCATTATCACATGCATGTGCACATACAAAATGAATGAACACATTTATTTAAAAAAATAAGTAAACAAAAGGCACTCTAAATCGTACAAAAACATAACTGCAAAACATCTTCAAAGAAAAATGTTTTGGCTATTAACTCAGGCCAAAGATAAAGGAAATGTTAAAACAGTCACAGAGGCAACGTGTATAAGAAGCAAAAGATAATTACTAAATACTTTTAAGTGTATGGTGAATTAAATGTAATTGTGAGTATAGCTACAAACTGCAACTTATATATTAATAATTCTTAATATACTTTTTAAAGGTTTGAAGTCACAAGTTACATGAAACTCCACTGAGGAGCTGTGAATGGAGGGATTAAGGGGAAAGGACAAACGTGAGGAAGTGGAACTACCTGATTTCTTGATTCTGGTAGTGTACAGAAAACATGGGTTTACATGTGTTACTCTAAAGCAATCTCTGCTTTCCAAAGTTCTAGAGGTTAAAAAAAAAAATCAAGAAATAGTCTGTACAACAAATAATGACACAAAACAAAGAGACCAGAATCGTCAAAACAAATGTTAATTTTCCTTTATGTAAAATATAATAGCCACAAAGACATAGTATGAATCATTTATGCAGAAAAAATTAAGGCATCAAATTAGGAAGCCATCAGAAATATGAACAGGAATACAGTAGCTCTGAGAGACTCGCCCACAACCCCCTCCCCGCCCAGTCTTAGGCAATTGGTAGAAGACAAAACTCTAAAAGCAATTTCTAGGGTAGGGATCAGGCCTCCCAACCACAGCTCATCAGCCACCCACTACTCTGTTGCAGAAGTCCACAGTCTCAACTCCAGCTTCCACAGGAGGTAGCTAAAAGGAGCTCAGTATGTGTCCAGGGATTTGGGGACACAGACAGTGGAAGTCCCTTGCCTAGAGAAAGGTGAAAGTTTAGATAAATTATTACTTGCAGTTCATAGTCTTTGCCATGTAGAAGATGGACAGGAGGTTCAATCAGTAAAGTGCATGCCTTGCTGAGGCACACCTGTAACCCCAATGCTGAGGAGAGGGAGGGGGAGGCAGGAGGATCCCTGGGACTCAAGAGTCTGTCAGTCTAGCCTCATTGGTAAGCTCCAGGCCAATGAGAGACATTTTCTCAAAAGAGATGGGTGGAGTTTCTGAGAATAACATTCAAGGCTATGTCTTGGGCTTTACACACATACACACACACACACACACACACACACACACACGCACACGTGCATATATGCACCCAATGCATTAAAAATAAAAAAGATAATTATTTTATCACATAATCGTATTATAGCAAACAATACAAAAAGCATCAAAAACATAGACTGAGGGACTGGGTAGTAAACTACTTGCCATGAGAGCATGCAAGCCAGAGTTCAGATCCCCTGTATCCTAGTAAAAAAGCCAAGCAGGGTGGTACACAACTGCAATCCCAATACTACAGAAGAAGAGACAGGACAATCTCTTTGACTTGCTGAGCATTGAGTCTAAACAAACTGGCAAACTCCAGACTAAGGCTTTGTCAAAAGCATATGCCAGAGAACAATGGAGGAGAGGACAGGAAGGCACTCAACATTAACCTCTGGTCTCTACACACACACATGTGCACACACACATGTACACGAACATTTTCTCCTACCCACAGATGTAGAGCAATTAAATCACATCATGACCATATATTGGAATGCGATTGAGTTAATGAAAATGAAAAGGCTTTAGCATGAGATGTTCATGATATGTTTCTAATTGAAAACTGTATGACAAATTATTTTAACTGCTTTTTTTTCAAGCTAATATGACAAAAGACCACAGATTGGGTGGCTTAAACATCACACACTAATTGGCCACAGCTCTGGAAGGCTGCCAGTCCATGATGGAGGTCCTAACATTGTCACTTCCTGGTGACAGTCCTCCTGCTTTACAGTCAGCTGCCTATTTGCTGTATCTTCACATGACAGGGTGGAAAGGGGAGAGGGAACATGCACGTTCCAGTCTGTGTACCTCATTGTTGTGGCACTAATCATGAGATCATCAAAGTGTCACCCCCTCACGACAGAACCAAACTTAATTACCCCAAAGGTCTGCTTCCAAATACCATCACATTAGGGCTTCGGTGTGAGAATTTAAGGGAGAAAACATTTGGTCCGCTGCACTCACTGTGGGCCTTTTTGTGGGAAATGAAAAAGTGAATAGGATAAGAGCTATCTCAGACTTTGCGATAACACCAGCATTACGCTCCTTTCTGATCGCCTTACCAAAGTCACAGTGCTAAGTCACAAGCCATGATAAAGGTAGGTACTTACCTAAAATGAGTGAATGCCTTGCTGACATCCATCTGGAAGGTCATTAGTCTTAGAGCAGGAAGTATTAGCAAAAGGGGGAACTTTCTGTCCCACCCAGGCACAGAGGACAGGTGACCAGATGCTCAGAACAGCCCCTATTGTTTCTTTTATTTATCAATTTCAACTTACGTATTCAATTTTAAATTTCATCTGTGTGTGCTTCTTTTTGTTCACAAATTATAAGTCAAATTAACTAGGAATGCTAATTGTATAAGTCAATTTCCCCATTTTCTGCACTATCCCATAGCTTTGAATGACAATTAAGTGCCACACTGCTACCTGCTTCCTGATACATGGGGCCAGGAACACGAAGTTCTTTGGTTTAAGACACTCTCATGGTAGGGCAGCCTCCACAGCTCCCTGGCACACTGGGACAGGGATGGGACTGTGTGCTGCTTAGTTTTATGTCAACTTGACACAAGCTGAAGTCATCTGAGAGAAGGGAGCCTCAACAGAGAAAATACTTCCATAAGATTGTGCTGTAGGCAAGCCTGTAGAACATTTTAATTACTGATAGATGGTAGAGAGCCCAGACCATGGTGGGAGGTGCCACACCTGGGCTGGTACTTTTGGTTTTTTGTTTTGCTTTGCTTTGCTTTTGTTTTTCAAGACAGAGTTTCTCCATTTAACAGCCTTGGCTGTTCTAGAACTTGCTCTATAGACCAGGCTGGCCTCGAACTCACAGAGACCCTCCTGCCTCTGCCTCCGGAGTTCTGGGATTAAAAGTGTGCATTACCACCACCCAGCTGGGTTAGTAATCTTGGGCTATGAGAAAGCCGGTAAGCAGTAACCCTCCATGGCCGCACCAGCTCTGACCATTGCTTTTGGTCATTGTGTTCCATCACATCAATTGTAACCCAGCATTATTTGGAGCTGGAGCCAGTTTCCTGGACTAAGAGACCACAGTGATTATAAAGACTGGCTAAGGTTCTAGTGGGAAAAGAATAAGCTCCACTGCAGTACAGGGAATGAGGATTCTTCATGAAATGAGGATAGGGGTGGGTAAGGAGCAGCGACAATGTGATTCACGTTGTATTTGAGCCACAGTCTGTTGTGAAGGGGGAAAATACTTTCTCACAATAACCCACCTTCTTTATTTTTTTATTAAATCTGCCTTCATGAAATTTCCAGTCTTTTCCCCTATAAATATCCATTGGGGCTATATCAGTGTTACCCATTCTTTCTCATATTCCTGAACCTTCAATTCCCTCTTCCTGTCCTTTCACAGCATCATCTTTGATCATGTACCAAATAATCTGCCCCCCCTCCCCGCTGCTTTTGTTGTTGTCTTATCAGACTTGGTTATGTTTGAGAAAAGCCTTACCTGCCTTTTCACGGTCCCTTCACCTGTAGCTGTGACATTGTTTTTTAGACCAACCAAAAGCTGTAACATTTATAACACATGGATTGATTTAAAGCCTAACTCATTACAATAACTTATTTTTATTTTTTTCAGTGCTGGGGGTGTAACTCAGTGCCTCATGCATCTCTCGGTCCAGTAATTGCTAACTTCGTGTTTTTAGCTATGATCAGTATACTTACTAGCAGTCCTTAGCTCCTTCTGCCCACTAAATAGAATCGCACTTGCTTTGGGATTTAAAGCCCAACCCGCCGCTTTCAGCCGCCCTGCCTCTAGCCTCGCCCGCCCTTGCAAACAGGGGATGCGACCGCTGATTGGCTGGCTGGGGCGCAGCTTGATGGCGTAAGCACGCGACGGGCCAGCCCGGATGGCTGGGGGCGAAGGCCGCCTCTTACTGCAGGCGAACAGTCTTAACTGGCAGCTTCCTTCCCTGAGGTGCAGACAGCTGGGCATGGGCCTCCCGAGGCTTCGCCATGAGCTTCCTGATCGACTCCAGCATCATGATCACCTCCCAGGTGAGCCGCCGCCCGCCCTCGTGCTCTGGGGAGAACCCGGATTTTGCTCAGCGGTGCCTTAGCCCGAGTGGTTAGGGCTGACTTGTGATCCTGTCACTCACCTAGTTAGTGTGCGTCCCCCAGATATGCGGGCCGGCTCTGGGGAGGGCTCAGCTGGCCCCAGCGTGGGGCGCGGTGCGGTGCCACGGGTGAGGGCAGTTCCTACGACCCCCCCCCCCCCAGGCTCCCGGGCTGCGCCGCGGACCGCGGAGCCCGAAGAAGCGCGAGGAGTGTGGCTCCCGGAGGGAAGCCCACGGCCCACTGACAACTGGAGCTGAGTGCTGTGACCTGTGTGGGCTTGGCCGAATCCGGATGCCAACGTGTTTGCTTCCGCGACTCCCAAGCCTGACGTTTCCTTTGTGCAGTGGCAACTCATTGTCCCCTGCTTGCTCTTCAGTCTTTGCTGATCACAATCAGAGCCTCGTTGCTTCTCAGTTGGCCACCTCCGTTCTTTTGTACAGTCGACATCCACTATCATACAAAACTAAGAGTGTAAACCACTGAGAGTCCTGCTCTCCAGTACCTTCAGCTAGTGAGCCTCTTGCTTTCTCTATGGTTCGTGCTTCCCAAGCCCCCCCCCCAAAAAAAAAACACACCGCTGTTTATCACGGTTTTGTCAACATGTACGTATTTATGTGTACTCACCTCCAAGTGCAAGCATTCATTAAATAATGGTTGAGTAGCAGCAGCTGCAGAAGCTTCTTCCGATTACTGCTCTTACCCCTTTGTCTTTCCAGTAAAAGATTTTCTCTTCGTTGCATCCAAACGGCAAGAGAAAGAAAAGAGATCCCTTCAGGAACACAAGTGAGGTGCATGCTTGGGTTTAAACCCCACAAACATTTAGGGTTTGTGCTGCAGCATGCTAAGGCTCTATCTGCAGAACATTGTCCTTGCCTCTTGAAAACTTCAGTAACAACAATGAAAATATGGAACAAGAAAAAGCCCACTCTTTTTCACCACCCTAATACAATAACTATTTTTCCTTTTTCAAAATTAATACCTTTCATGTGCATTTGATTGTTTCTGTTGTCAGCATAGTTTTCAAATATGTAAGTACACAAATTCTGGACACACATTCTGTTTAAAACCTCCCTGAATCTCCCTGTTGTCCTTGATAACAACACAGGGTGGCTTTCAGCGTTAGTACCAAGAAAAATAGCAATAGTTAAGTTTTAAGTGGCATTTTTTTTTAATGGAAAAATATATATGTCAAAGGACTGAGCTTGTAGCTCAGTGGTGTAGCACTTGACTAAAATGTGCAAAATCCTTTGCCCTTTCCCAGCACCTTAAGAGTACAAAAATAAAAGTGTAAGTAGAAAATTGCCATTCACTTTTACCTGTGAGAGTAACATGAATATAATTCAAGTTAGCCCAAGATCATGGCTTTCTAATCTTTTATGCCTTATAGTAATGGCCTTAATGTTTACAAATATACCCACATGAAATATTAAATTTAACTGACCAAGCTGCTGAGATCCTAAACTCAAGCAATCCTTTGTATTGAGCACTCCTTGCCCGTGTGTGTGTGTGTGTGTGTGTGTGTGTGTGTGTGTGTGTGTGTGTGTGTGTGGCTACTTTATGATCATTGAGGTAGTAATGAAAATAAAGCTGTCACCTCAGGCTGGGTGGTGGTGGCGAATGCCTTTAATCCCAGCACTCAGGAGGCAGAGGCAACTGGATCTCTGAGTTTGAGGCCAGCCTGGTCTACAGAGCAACAGAGCTACAGAGAAACCCTGTCTCAAAAAACAAAAGTCACCTCAGGGAGGCTTTACTTGCCCCTTAGCAATAACCAAAGTGGTCTTTTATTCCAGCCACTTTCTTTCTCATTTTTGTTTTATTTCCTTCTTCATGAAATCCAAGATAGTATCTTTCTGACTCTGCCATGTATTTCTGGCCTTCTGACCCAGTTGCTGGCAGAGAGCAGAGACTTAATAAGTCTTGTTTTAATAGAAAGGGCCTCCCTAGAGAAATGTGATTAACTGGAAAGCTACAGACACACCATTTTCCCCCCATTTTGTATGAACTGAAACATTTATTGAAATGAAATCAGAGGCTTCATATCAAAGCCTATTGCCTCAGGCCAGTGAGATGGCTAAGCAGGTGAAGGCACTCTGGCACAAGCCCGACAACCTGAGTTAGATTCTTGGTGATCACAATGGAAGGAGAAAGCCAAGTCCCAGAGTTGTCCTCTGGCTTCTAATTATACACTGCGCGTGCACTAGCATGCTAGTGCACCTGCATACACATGTAACAAGTACAGTTAAAGTCTATAAAACTCATTACTTAGACATTTTTGCTCACCATGCCACAGAATAAAGCATGAAGTCCACAGTATGACTTACACAGCCTCTTATCTTTAGCCTTGACTCTCAGTCGCCATGTCCTCATTTCAACTTATACTTTATGGACTTCCTAAGCTTCTTGCAGTTTCTTAACCTGGTTGTGCCATCGTGCTTGAGATTTCCAGAGTCTCTTTTTCTCTTTCTGGGATCCTCTCCCTCATCCCTTGAACTCTTTCTCCTGGCCAACTGCTGTTCAGCCTTGAGAGCTCAGCTTGGATATACAAGGACGTCTCCCAGAGCAGGTTTCTTTTCCTGTTGCCATAATACCTTTCGCTCCCTTCCCTTTGGGCTGCCACCCTGTCTTGTGATTACTTGTTATCTCCTGCATAGGTTATAAACCCTTTAAGAGCAGCATTTTTGCTTTCCCAGTCACTAGTCAATCTCTGGCACCTGGCACATATTAACTGCTAATAATACTAGCTAATGAATAGAAGCATGAACAAATATGCAAGGAAGGTGTCTTTTCCAGGTAATTCTTGATAACTGTTCTGCCAGTCATTGTCTTATTTAATCTGTCCTACTTTCCAAACTTGAAGTCATTCATTTTGAAAAAGCGACTGTCAACTAACTTCTGCTGAGCCATGAGTTCAGCTGTTCAGACTTCAGTTTAGAGGACTCTCATTAAGTCCCAGCAGTACATTGAAAACAAGGTCAAGGGTCTACTTTGCACAACCCTAAGACTGTTCATTTAGTTTTTTTATGTTTTTTTTTTTTTAAATAAGCCATGCAGATTCCAGTTTATTTGAAAAAAAAAATTAAAGCTACTTTTTCTCTCTATAACCTTGCCAGAATTCATAAATATCCTGGATATAGTAAATTCTCTAATTCTTTCCTTTCTTCCTTTCTTCCTTCCTTCCTTCCTTCCTTCCTTCCTTCCTTCCTTCCTTCTTTCTTTCTTTCTTTCTTTCTTTCTTTCTTTCTAGACGGGGTCTCACTATGTTGCCCAAACCTGACCTCAAACTTCTGGACTCAAGGGATCCTTTGCTTCCTGAGCAGCTCATACTGCAATTGCTCATTCATATGCTTGTAATTTGCAAGTCCTTTCAGGCTTTGTCGTGGAGCACGTGATAGCACATTGAAGTGCTCCTTTCCCTCTCCCTCCCCTCCCCCTCTCCTCTCCCTCCCTCAGCATTCCCTATCTCATCTTATAAACATAATTTTTGTTTGTTTCTCTTGCCCAAGGTCCCGTGTCTGTTGGCTCTTGTCATCCTTGAAGCGTCCTGCTGACTTCACCTCTTCTGTGACTGCCTCTTCTGTAACCAGCTTTGTCATTCTCATTTGAGTTCCTCCAAAAGCCTCCGGAAACATTTTTCTTCCTAGAGGTGTTTCCTTCAAACAGATCCTTTCAATCTACCATAGTTGTCACATGAAACAGAACTCACCACACCACTTCCTGCCTTGGTGACCCCCAGCTCCTCAGGTGGCGTGCTGGGCTCTCTGTGACTGGTCTACTGGTTCTCCCCCTGTCCCTGCTTTTAAACTTTCTCCTTCATAGACATTATCTTCTGGCACCGCCCAGCCATTTTGTTCGTTGCCAGTGTGGGCCAACACCATGTACCATCTTTGTTCATGATCTTCGCTATCTAGAAAGCCCCATCCTCCTGTCCTTGCCACCTCTGCCTTTTACTTGCCTGGTTCTTTTTTGGTTGGTTGGTTGGTGGTTTTTCAAGACAGGGTTTCTCTGTATAATAGCCATGGCTGTCCTGGCACTCACACTGTAGACAGTCTGACCTGGAACTCTCAGAGATCTGCCTGCCTCTGCCTCTGAATGCTGGGATTAAAAGTGTGTGGCACCACTCTGTAGAGAAAGGCAATATTCCCCAATTTGCACATGATATTAGGAATTCACTGCAAATTGCCGTCTTCACCTCCAGAAAGCCTAACTACCTTATAGAGGTTGCTTTGGCCCCTCTGTTGTATGTTTTACAGTACCAGACCTGTGTCCCTCCACTGCTCATCCACACTGCATTATTCGGTGTCTTCACCACTGTACTGTAAGCTCTTTGGGCACGATGACTGTCATCCTCATCTTTGAATTTCTAGTGACTGGCATCACACATGGAAGTACTACAGACATTTTTACAGAGTATTGACAAAGTGCAACCAACCAAATAGAGCCCTTATTATGACAGCTTTTAATTCAAAACATTCTGTCATGATGGGGAATGGTCTTCTGTGTATTTGTCTTATTGTTTAATGAATAAAACACTGTTGGCCAATAGGGCAGCAGGATAGGTGGGACTAAGCTATGAATAGGATTCTGGGAAGTGTAGGCAGAGAGGAGTCATCATGTAATCCCGGGAAGTGATGTAGCTGGACAGAAACTGCCACTAGCTAACAATAGAGGTCTTCAGGTCTGTACAGACAGGAAATGAAGTAGCTGGGCAGAATCAGAATATGAGCAGGGACCAAAAGGAAATCACGTTCTTCTCTGTGGAGACACTGAGTGAGTTGAGATGTAGGACGCTAGAGGAGTAAGAGGTTCCTGGACCTTTCTCCAGTAAGAAAGACCATGTGGAAATACTTAAATTGATAGAAATGAGTTAATATATAAGACAGGGCTAGCCAATAAGAAATGCTAGTCACTGGCCAGTAGTTTAATAATCAATATAGCATCTGCATGTTCATCTGGGGCTGAAGTGATGGCAGGGCCTGCCAGGCCAGAAAACTCAACTTACACTATCAAGCATTACAAAACTGTGTGATCAGTACCTTGGCAAGGGAAAATGAATAGGACTGCACAAAAAGAATGCTTTATCTTTGGTTGGGAGGCTAGAGAAAGTCTACCATAGGGAGCAATGCTTTCACTAAGACCTGTGGGATTACGAGCAGAGAGGCTGGAGAGAGCTCCTTTCAGGGACCATGGAAGAACATGTGTCTACAGAACTGGGAGAAGTTGTATCTAAGTAGATGTTTGGTTGGCAGGAAGGGCACAATTGACTGGAATAGTTTGTACTGACCTCATGAATTTAGACTCCTGCTACAATCAATACTTGGGAGGGCATAAAAGAATTTTATTCATAAAATTCCCAGCCAATATAAGAAGGAAACAGTTTTTGTTCTCCTCTCTCTCTCTCTCTCTCTCTCTCTCTCTCTCTCTCTCTCTCTCTGTGTGTGTGTGTGTGTGTGTGTGTGTAGATACTTACCTCAGAGATGAAGCTTTCAGATAAGATCCAGCTCAAATCATCTTGAGTCCTGTGTCCAAAGTATGGTTCTTCAGCAGTGGGGATTTATCTCCAACCTCCTAGTGGAGTCACCAAGGGCAACAACAATAGCCTGAATTATTTTGGGAATCTTTTAGACTTTCCTGACCAACAGTTAGAAAAGAGGTTTCCTACTCCTAGTGCTAGGTTTCTGTTAGATGGTCTATGGCTCTTGTAGGGAACATTGTCATTCCAAGTAGCATAACTTCATTTTATTTTATTTTATCTACATTGGTGTTTTGCCTGCATGCATGCCTATGTGAGGGTGTCAGATCTGGAACTGGAGTTACATACAATTGTGTGCTGTCCTGTGGGTTCTGGGAATTGAACCCAAGTCTTCTGTGAGAACAGTCAGTGCTCTTAACTGCTGAGCCATCTCTCCAGCCCCATAACTTCATTTTAGATAAATGGATGGATGGATGGATGGATGGATGGATGGATGGATATGGAGACACATGTGTTATATGTAATATTAGGTGAGTATAAAATAATGTTTCTTTAAGGCTTTCTCAAATATCCTTGGTATTATTTATCTGTCCTCTTTCTCCTCCTATATTGACCTCTTCCCAATTAAAGTTTTTTTTTCTATTTTCCCTTATATATTATTCCTATCCTGCTGTCCTTCTCTATAGTGCCTTCTTGCTTTCCTGGTTTTTGTGGTTCCTCTGGGTTATGTACTCACATCTGAAGATTTGGAGCTAAGAGCCTAAAGATGAGAGAGAACACGTTTTGTTTTTCTTGGTCTGGTTTACCTCACTCAATATAGTATTATCTGGTTCCATCCATTTGCCTGCAAATTTCATGAGTTCATTTTTTTTTTACACCTGAATGGTATTCCATTGTCACTGTATTTTCATTTCCCACTCATCAGTTAAAGGACATTTATGTTGTTTCTATTGCCTAGCTATTGTGAATAGAGCAGCAGTGTACATGGATGAGAAGGCGTCTGTGGAGTGGGATGTTGAGTCTTTAGACCTATGTCAAGGAGTGGTATAGCTGGATCATATGGTAGATTTACTTTTAGTTTTTCGAGAATTTTCCGTATTGATTTCCATAATGTCTGCACCAATTTGCCATCTCACCAGCAGTGAAAGAGAGTTCCCCTTTCCCTGTATCATCTTTCAACATTTGTTGCTGTTTGTGATGTTAACCATTCTAAGGAAAGATGAAATCTCAAAGTTGTCTTGATTTGAATTTCCATAATTGCTAAGAATGATGAACATTTTTGAGATATTTGTTAGCTGGTTTTGTTTGTTTTAGAACAGCAGAACAGTTTTCTTTGGGGAGGTTCTAATTTTTTAGTTCTGTATATATTCTGGATATTAATCCTCTGCCAGATATGTAGCTGACAAAGATTCTCTCCCCCTTGTGGCTTCCTCTGCCTGGTTGTTTCCTTAGTTGTGCAGAAACCTTTTACTTTGATGAAGTCCCATTGTTCAGTTGCCTTCCTCAATCTCTGGGCAAAAGGAGCCCTGTTCAGAAAGTCCTTGATACAACCTATATTTTCATCTAGCAGTTTCCATGTTCCAGGTTTTACATCGAGGTCTTTTATCCATGTGTGCTTAGTTTTTGTGCAAGGTGATAGATATGGTCTAATTTTATTCTTCTATCTGTGGGCATCCCACATGTGGTTTTCCCAGCACCATTTGTTAAAGATGCTATTGTTTCTCCAGTGTATGTTTTTGGTATGTTTGTCATATATCATATGGCTCTATTTATATGTTTGGGTCTTTTACTTTGTTCCATTGGCCTGCATGTCTGTTTCGACGTGCCAGTATACTGTTTTTAGTACTATACTCTGTAATACATCTTGAAGTCTGGGATGGTAATCCCTCTGCATTGTTCTTTTTGCTCAGGATTGCTTTGACTATCCTCGGTATTTTGTGGTTTCAAATAAATTTTAGGAAAGTGTTTTAGTATTTCTGTGAAGAATGAAATGGGGATTTTTTTTAATTGGGATTACATTGAATCTGTAAGTCACTTTTGGCATAATGGTCATTTTCACAATTTTAATTCTACCAATCCATGACCGTGGGCTGTCTTTCCATTTTCTAGTGTCTTGAGAGAATTAAAGCTTTTGTTATAGAGGTCTTTCACTTCCTTAGTTAGGCTTATTCCTGGGCACCTTATTTCCTTTAAAGCTATTTTGAATGGGAGTGTGCATGATTTTTTCTCAATGTTTACTGTTCATATAGAAAATGTATTGATTTGTATACATTTATTCTGTATCCTGCCACTTAGCTGAAATTGTTAATAATCTCTAGAGTTCTCTGGTAGACTTTGTGGAATCTCTTAAGTATGATATTTTATCTGCAGATAGAAATAATTAAACTTTTTTCTCTCTGTATCCCTTTAATTTCCTTCCCTGCTTTATTGCTCCAACTAATGGTTTGAGAGCTATATTGAAAAAGAGTAGGGATGGTGGGCAGTCCTATCTCATTCCTGATTTAAATGGCATTGCCCAGGTTTTTCTCCATTTAAAGTGAGGTTAATGTGGGTTGTCATATATAGCCTTCATTATGTTGAGTTATATTCTCTCCAGTCCCTCAGTCTATGATTTTTACCATGGGGATATATTGGATTTTTGCTAAAGGCTTTTTCTGCATCTATCAAAGTGATCATGTGATTTTTGTCCTCAAGTTCACTTGTGCAATTTATTACACATATTGACTTGTGTATGTTGAGCCATCCCTGCATCTCTGAAATAAAGCAAATGACTTTTGCATGTTTAGGAACTGAGGTGGTAATGGGAATTAGAGTCCAGACTGTATTGTGGGTAAGTTTTCAGTTAAATCATCCTATTACTTGAAGAAAAGTTTCTGTTGAATATTCCCATCTTTAGTATTCCGTTCTCATTTAACTCTTAAAACCCATCTTCGTCTTCAAGGTACAAAGACTCAGAATCTGGGTCCCTTCTGTAAGATTGCCTGGGGGGGGTTGAATGCTTATTATCATCTTGTGTCTTTTGCAAACCCCATCTTTCTAAGAGGAAGCTCTGTGCCCTTGGACATCCAAACCAACCTGGGAGCCACTTCCTTGCGCTCTTTGCCTTCTACCTCTTGAGCATGCCTAGTTTGTTTGTTTGTTTCCATGTTTTCTTCTCTAAGCTGCTGCCTGGTGACACTACCAGCACAGTCGGTTGCTTTCACGAGGCCAGGGCCCCAGGATCAGGGTTTCCCAGAGACCAGGCCTCAGGCTGGTTGCTGTTGTGTCTGGGGCTGCAGCAGCCACTATTGCTGTCAGTATTGGTTTCCCTTGTCCCCTGGCTCACTCATGGACTGGCTTCACAGCGAGCTCCCCATCCTGCTTTGGACCTCAGAGCACCCTGGCATCACTCTCAGAGAGACTTCTCAGCGACATCTGGTGGGAAGTCACTTTATTGTGACACGTCTGCTAGAAGCACATTTCTTTCTATCCTAGCTAATTATTTTTTTTTCATACAATATGTTTTGATTCCAACTTCCCAGATCTTCCTCACCTCCCTGCTGGCCCAAAAGTATGCTTGTTTTCTCAAAACAAGAAAATCGGTAAGGCAAAAAGTAACAAAACAAAGCATGGTGTCTCCTGTGTGTTGGCCAAACTGTTCCTGAGCAATGCCCTGGAGTGTGGCTGATATACGCGTTACCTCCATTGGAGAAAACTTATTTTCTCCTTTCTAGCAGGTGTCAATTGCAAATAGCTTCTTGGTTAGGGGTGGGACTGTATGTCCACTTCCCCTTCTCACTGCTAGGGCTTTGTCTGGTTTGAGCCTGTGCTCTTTTGGTTTTTATATGTTATTTTAAGAATGATTGGCTAGGCGGTGATGGCACACATCTTTAATTCCGCACTTAAGAGTCAGAGACAAGCAGATCTCTGTGAGTTCAAGGCCAGTCAGATCTACAGAGTGAGATTCAGGACAGCCAGGGATACATAGTGAAAACCTGTCTGGGGGCAGGGGTTGGGGGTGTGTAATGGGACAAACAAACAAAAACTGTGGTTTAGGTACTGCTGGCCCTGTTTCCTGCTTTAATGACAGAACTATGTAAGTAAGACCTGCCCTGAATTCTGGGTACTTCTATAGTTGTAGCTTTTATAGTATTTGTAACCCTGGAAGCTTGTTGGAGTAAGGTGTAAGAAAAGAATATGGAAATCCATAACTTGGGTGCAGGGTGCTAGCACCAGCAGATAATAGGTGTATTCTGTGGAAACAGGAGGCTGAACAGATATAAGGGGGTAGACAAGATATGGTCCAGTAGGGCTTGGACTGAGCTATTGTTCGCAATTATCATTGATATCTAAAGGAAACTGCAATTGGCTGGGTTTTCCTGAACATGCAGATAACAGATAATTAGGCAACTGGGAATTGGAATTGGTCCTGTACAGAAACATTTCATGATCAATTAGGAGAGCTATAAGAAGCATAATGCACTGGGATTCTTTTCCTGGGGAATAAACAGCTTTACTTCTGTGAAGGTTGACATTCTGCTTGGTTAGCACATGGCCCATGGCACTAGCCTGACACTGAGTAAAGCCCGTGTTTGTTTACTGACTTCTCTAGCTTATAAACAGGTTTTATAGCATTATGGAAAAATACATGTATTCCATTTTTTGTCTACCTTAAAACTCATTCTATACAATGAATAATTTAAAAATTCTAAGAGCATCTAAGTGTCTCTTTCCAATGTTATAAGTGGATCTCATTTTTAATCTCTAAAAATAACTATTGAGTTAGCAGACATTTTATCATAAAATAATTTCTATAAGGCATTTGTCAAAAGAAAATGTATCTTGACATTTTATCTTTCTTCTCCCCAGATACTGTTTTTTGGATTCGGGTGGCTTTTCTTCATGCGTCAATTGTTTAAGGACTATGAGGTAAGAAGAAACCATTTTATGGTTTAGGTTGTTTAGAATGGAACAAGAAAAATATTAACAGTTTTAAAAAGATTGCCAGGTGGTGTGGTGGTGCATTCCTTTAATCCTAGCACTTGGGAGGCAGAGGCTGGCACATCTCTTGAGTTTGAGGCCAGCCAAGGCAACACAGAGAAACTCTGTCTTCAAAACAAAACAAAAAGATTGGGTTCACTTCCTCAGATAGGAAATCAGTGCCAATCAGGAATGTACAGTTATGAAACTACGTAGTATGATTAGGCTTTGCTAAGAGATTGATTTATCTATCTGCGTACTAACTTATCACAGTTTTTGTTTGTTTGTTTGTTTTTTTTTTTTTTTTTTTTTTTTTTTTTGACACAGGATATTGCTGTGTAACTCAGGCTGCCCTGGGACTGCCTATATAGCTCAGGCTGACCAGTAACTCGTAGCAATCCTCTTGCTTCAAAATCCCAAGTAGTGGGATTACAGGCTTGTACCACCACACCCTACTGGTTTAGGTGATTTAAAAGAAAAAATAAACAAACAACCAAGAACAAGGAAGGCCATTCCTTAGTTATTGGAGCCATATACACCAAAAGCAGATGCATATTTTCAGGAGGATATTTAATTTCTAATGCCTGGAAATTTCCCTTTTAATCTACAATTGCCAGTCTTCAAGTTTAAATTAATACCCAAGTCCCAAAGCCACTCTGGTTCTTATTGTAAGCCTTGAATTCAAAAGAGAATGGTAGCCTATGCTGGCCATTTTCTAATATAATTTTTAGTACTTAGTTATCTGGTCACTTTGGGGCCATTTCTAAGATGTTCCATATTAAGCCTCCTCGGGAGTTTTGGGAACTATCTGGAAGAGCCCAGATTCCAAAGAATCTGTATCTTATAAGGCCTCTCAGGAAAGTTCCAGAGCTGATGTGAGCTCTGCAGCATCCAAGAACATGCATTCAGTCTTTTTCTTTTGTCATTGACATCGGGAATCTAAATGCTGCTTGTGGCCCAGTCATTCCATCCTCTTGTGCTTTAAACTCCCCAACCACAAGAAGATTCCAGTAGGAAACAGCCATGACTCCAAGTACTGCCCACTTGGATCGTTTAACCCAAGTGTCTGCTTTAAAGACTGGAGAATTCTACACAGGTTTTCGGACTTGTCATTGGAAAATTATCGATTCAAAATTTCAGACAAGGAAATGACTGGCTTCTACGTCTGGCCTCTGACAGGTGCGTCAGTATGTCGTGCAGGTGATCTTCTCCGTGACTTTTGCATTTTCGTGCACCATGTTTGAGCTTATCATCTTTGAAATCTTGGGAGTTCTGAACAGCAGGTAAGTGCCAATCCTGCTTCCTTACCCCAGAAGTGTGTTGCCCTTTATTTACAGTAGATTGGTCACTTGGATCTCATGGTGGAAAATATCTACCATGTAGCTATAGGTTAGTCTTGGGAGCTGCAGTGATCACTGTAGCATGAGTTCTCATTGTTCTTAATAATAAAAGCCCAGAGCCAGATATTAGTGGGGAGGGGCACACCTGAAAGATCAGAGAAGCAAAGCAGCCAGCCACTAGCTCTAACCTCACCTCAGACCAAAGGGGCCATTCCGTCCTCAGATTGTATCTCTAGACTGCATCTGTCTCCACCAAACCTCAGAATGCGCTGCGCTCCCGTCTGCTCCCACCTTATAGTCCTCTCTCTGCCCAGCCATCACACCTCCCCAATGCTGGGATTAAAGGCATTGGATCCCATATGCTAAGATCACCTTTGTGTGAGCTCTGTTTCTTTTTTTAGACTGGATCAGTTCCGTGTAGCTCAGGGTGGCCTTGAATTAACAGATCTGTCTGCCTCCGTCTCCCAAGTTCTGGGATTAAAGCTGTGCACCACTACCTGGCCTCTATGGCTAGCTAGTGTGGCTAGCTTTGCACTCTGATCTTCAGACAAGCTTTATTTGTTACATCATAAACAAAGTATCACCACAGATCACCAAAAGTATGGCTACTAGTAACAGGCTCAGCACAGAAGGCTCTAGGGGAAATTGCCCTGATCATTAGCTCTGCAGAACCCACTGAGTATGAGGGCTACAGAAGCCTCTGTCTTGGATTTCACTCCTAACAGCTTTCTGTTTCTCAGAGTCTCTGACTAAATGCTAGCCATGCCCCCCAACTTGACCGATACTTGAAAAGATCAAAATTCCTCAGCTGTTTAAGGACTTGAAGGAAGACTGATCTCTTATTCTTCCATCTTAACCATCTTGGTTAATTTTATATAGTCAGGCGGATTGAACTAATAAAGTGCCTCCTGGAGCTTGGTATAGAACTGCCGTGACTTGCCTACTTCCAGATTTGATCTTTAATAATCCAGACCTAGTCTGGATGAGCTGTGGAGAGTGGACAAGTAGTTTTTATGCTATTTGCTAAATTGCACTGTCACAACATGGATGTTTTACCATTCTCTGAGTAGAATTTAGCAAACTTTTCTATGAAGGACCAGCCAGTAAATATTTCAGACATTGTAAGCCGTTGTTGTTGAGTTTCTTGTCTTGCCAGGTTCCCACCACCACTTCAGCCCCAAATAAATACATGGACACTACATTAATTATAAAACTGTTGACTGATGGCTAGGGCTTCTTATTGGCTAGCTCTCTCTTACTAACTCATGTCTTTGATCTAAGTGGCCTTATCTTACTGGAGAACAGCTGGTGCATCCTATCTTCCCGGGCTCTACTTGATATCTCTTTCCTGCACCTCTCTGCCTACCTTTCCCAGAATTCTTCTCCTCTCGTAGTCTCACCTATCTTCCTGTCTCTATTGGCCAAACAGTGTTTTATTCATTAACCAATAAGAGAAACATATATACAGAAGGGCATCCCCCATCAGTAGGGTGTCTGCCATAACACTCAGTCTGCCATTGTAAAGCCAAAGCAGCCGTAGGCAGTGCATAAACAAACAGCTCCAGCCCTGCCCCAATGGAACATCTTTGTGAACATTGCTCCACAGACTGTGGACCATAGAGCTAAGAAGTAGTAGTGGAAAGAACACACCTGCTGTCTGTGGTGCATTGTGCCCCTATACTTGTAACTCATAATTAATCCTGTACAGTTAGAAACAGTCTTACTTTGGTGCCCATTGCCCACGTGCCTTAGTTTAGAGTGCAGGGATTAGCGCCGCTGAAGCTGGAGTCTGCTGGGTTGTTATAGAGAGCAAAGCACTGTCTGTCAGTGCAAACACTTTACACAAAATGACTTTGCTCCTGTAAGCTCCTTGTTACTCACAGGTTCTTTGTTCCTGGTGTCTGCCATCTATAATAAGGGAAAAAGTATGGAGAGCCCTCTGTAACCCATACAAATTTCTTTGGGAAGGATATTGTTCAGGACATTGTTAAGTTAAATCCTATGAAGTCTTTGGGGGAAATCTCATTGTCTGGGTAATAAATCAGTAGTAATTATGGCTAGTTTGGTTATTTTCTTACACTACAATGTATCTGTCTGATAAAATCAACTATTTCACACAAATTATTAGACAATGTAAAGCTAAATTTGTATCCAACCCATAGCAAGTTTGCAGAACTCTTATTTCATACAGCCATGGGGACCAGTCCAGTGTTTACCTGCCTTTTACCATATCCACTCTTTTCTCCTTATTCCCTAGTTTATTTACTTATCCTGTATTTTCCACATCTTAGTAAGCCACCCAAGCATTTATCCACTTTTGTGCAATAAGGCCTGAGTTTGAACTCAGTAATTTGAAAAGACACTATGAAAATGAATAGCCATCCCAAGAACAGGAGAAAATTATTTCAAACCACCTATCTAATAAGGAATTTCTTTCTGGGACATATAAAGAGCTCTTATAATTCAGTAGTAAAAGTAGCACAGTTAAAAAGTATACAATGGTCAGAAAATATAGTTGCATGGTAGAGTAACCTAGAATGCACGAGGCCCTAGGTTCAATCTCCAGTACCACAAAAGGGAAGGTGGAGAACAGAATATAAAAAGCAGACAGAAGGTCTGAATAGGCATTTGTCCAAAGATGACAGACAGGTGGCCAATAAGCACACAAAAAGATGGTCAGTATCAACAAACACCAAAGAAACACAGTCAAAACCACAGTGCCGGAGTACTTTCACCAAGATAGTTGAAGACATGCAGCAGCAACTGGTATTAGAGCCCAAGAAACCTGGGCCCTTCATGTCCTGCCGGGGACAGTGTCAGTGACTCCAGGGGGTAAATACAGACTCCGCCATGGCCTGGCACTGCATTCCATCTCTGTGTGAAAAGAAATAAGAGCATGGCCGTGTTACACCTGACATAATGTTCCTAGCATCACTATAATAATTTAAAGTTAAAACGCCCAAGGATATGTTGGCTACTGAATTGACAAATAATGGGGTAAATTTTACTCAATCACTAAAAAGATGAACTATTTATAGATGCTTAATGTGGATGAACCTTGCAAAACCCTATACTAAGTGAAAACAGCTAAACAAAAATAGACCACATATGATAGGGTTAAATAAAATAATTAAGGTCATGGCTACACAGATCTGTGAATATACTAAAGGTCATTGGATTATACACTTCAAGTGGGTAAATTATTTCTCCAAAAAGCTGTTGTAAAAAAATAAAAGTACTACATTTTAAGTTTATTTTCTTTTTACTTAATTATTTTGAGAGAGGGTCTCACTATATAATCCTGGCTAGCTTGGGACTTACAATATAGACTAAGATGACCTCAAACTCATAAAAATCTACTGCCTCTGCCTCTTGAGTGCTGGGATTAAAGATGTGTGCCACCATACCCTGCATAAAAACTTTAATAGATATTTTATAATTATACTTATATATTTATAAATATAAAATAAAATTATAAAATATATTTTATAAGTATTAATGAAAGGTGTGCGTGTTAAATGTTTAGATCACACTACAAAAGAATTTCTGAGTCTTTGTTGCTCAGAATTACTATTAACATTTATTTTCCTTTCATTCTTTTTATTTAAATTTGTATTGCTTTTAATAATGGGGGGGCACACACAGATCCTTGCATACATGTAGAAATCAGAGGACAACTTCCAGGAGTCAGTACTCTTCCATCATGTGGTCCCAGGAATCAAACTCACCCACTGAGCTATCTCACCAGCCCTGTTTTGGTTTGGTTTTGAGACTCGAGACCGAGTGTCATGTAGTCTGGGGTAGCCCTCACACTTACTATGTGACAAAGGCTGGCCTTGTGATTATCTTGCCTCTACCTCCAAGTCCTGAAACTATAGGTGTGTATGATTAAGCTTTCCTTTAATTCTGTTTGTACCAGGCTTTTTCTTTTGAGCCACCAACCTGCTCTCAAACCATGACACAGAGACTTCTTTTTACTTATGAATGCTCAGCCTAGCTGGTTAGTTCTTTTAACTTAAATGAACCTGTTTCTCTTTATCGACCTTTTGCCTCCAGGCTTTTAACTGTTCTTTCCTTCTGTGTCTCTTACTTTCACTGCCTCTCCTGTCTGCTGGCTGCCGGCTGCCGGGGTTCTCGCCCCAGGAGTGATGTCCTGTTCCCTCGACCCCCTCCCCTTCTCTCGTTCTCCAAATTCCTCCTCCTGTTCTCCCTGACAACCCTGCCTGTCCTTTCTCCTGCCTAGCTGTTTGCCATTCAGGTTAAACAACGATACAAATGCAATACATCTTTACATAAGCTGGCCTTGAATTCACAGTCCTAGCTCCTCTTCCCAAATGCTGGGATTATAAGCGTAAGTCACAAAGGCCTAGTTGACAGGGTAGATGGGACATATTCAGTTTGTCTCCAAGAGCAGGGGCCCTTGGAGTACTAACAGAATGAGACTTGCCCACCTTCCCTCCAAATGTCTTTAATGTTGATTTCAGCTCCCGTTATTTTCACTGGAAAATGAACCTGTGTGTAATTCTGCTCATTCTGGTTTTCATGGTACCTTTCTACATTGGTTATTTTATCGTGAGTAACATCCAACTGTGTGAGTATTTTGCCTTCTTACATCAGCTCATAGATTGGGATACGTGTTAATGGGAGTAGATTACAGGCAGCTTAATTTCTATATTTTTATACTGGTGTCTGGGGACATACAGCATCTTAAAGCAGACGTAAAATGAATTCTGTCTGAAAGTAGATTGTGTCTCCTGCCACAGATTTATTTCTGCTTCTACTACAATGTCTCCTTGAACTCATTGTAATTTTAGCAACATTTTTGTAAAGATTGGGGAGTATCTGGGAGGGAGTTAGGGGAAGAAAAAGAGTATCATCAAAAAATATGAAAATTTTCAAAGAATAAATGAAAGCAGTATTTTTAAAAACTGAGTAAGAGAAGAAATTTTTAACTAAAATATAAAATGTTCTAATTGCACACACACAAAAGATTTTCTAAGGATCTTTTTGCAAATCTTTTTGCAGTAAGAATGCTTTTGCAAAGAATTGTGTAGTTCCATCATTTGCATATTAACTGCATAACTCGAATTTTTAATAAGCTGTCTAGTAGCTGCTCTACCTAAAAGTCCCGTGTCCTCTCTCAGTGCATAAGCAGCGCCTGCTCTTTTCCTGTCTCCTGTGGCTGACCTTTATGTATTTCTTCTGGAAGCTGGGGGATCCATTTCCCATCCTCAGCCCAAAGCATGGTGAGTAGAGTCAGAGCAGGTTGTTTCATTTTCTAATTTAAAAAATAACCACTTAAACTTTGATTATGAGAAATAGAGCAAGTTACTTCTCTAAAAGTATCTGACTTTGAAATCAACTTTTTCCTTTTTTGGTTTTTTGAGACAGGGTTTCTCTATTTCTTTGGAGCCTGTCCTAGAACTTGTGCTGTAGACCAGGCAGTGCTCAAACTCACAGAGATCCGCCTGCATTGCCTCCCGAGTTCTGGGACTAAAGGCATGAGCCATCACTGCCCTGCTAACTTTTTCCTTCTTTCTAAGGGCAGCAAATGCTAGTTCAGCTGCATAGGAATTAGAGGGTGCACATGGATGCCAGTCAACTTTCTGCTACAGTAACAAAAGTTAATCAGTGTAAAAACCAGAGATTTACCTGACAGTATTAGAGGTTTCGATCAATGGCCAGTTGCTGTACTGCTTTTGGATGTGTTGCAAGAAAGCGCATTATAGTGAGAGCGCGTGGCACAAGCAGCACCCTTCACGACAGCCAAGAAATGCAGGGAAGCAAGAGGGGGTGTCTGGGTGTCACTTTTCTCAAGAGCAGGCCTTCCTGATAGGAGAGCCTGACACTTGTGGGTGGGTTTGCACATGCCAAGACACTCCTGTGGAGGTCAGGGGACATCTTTGAAGAGTCAGTTCTCTCCTACCATGTGGATCCCAAAGATCAAACTCAGGTCGTTAGGCCTGGCAGCTGGTGCTCTTAACTGGTGGACCAGCAGCAGAGCCTCTGCCCAGCTGCTCTCCACCCTACACTGTTCATGTCTCACATGAGCATGCCAGTTTGGTGAAACCTACAAACACTTGAGCCTTAGCTTCAAGAAAGTCTGGGAATGTGAGAGCTTTGTGCTTTCCAGATCCTGTAGTGCAGGAGGAAAAGCTTGAAAAGGAATGAATGCCAAGGGCACCAGTGTCTACAGTCTACACACCTACACACCTCCTAACGTCTTTCCATGCCTACACAGTCTTTCCGTGTGTACACATCACAATCAACATACCTCCTAACGTCTTTCCATGCCTACACAGCCGTGTGTACACATCACAATCAACATACCTCCTGACGTCTTTCCATGCCTACACAGCCGTGTGTACACATCACAATCAACATACCTCCTAATGTCTTTCCATGTGTCCATATCACAGTCTATACACCTGTCTGTGTGTACCCATCACAGCCTGCACGCCTCCTAACGTCCTTCATGTGAACACATCACACAGTCTGTACACCTAATGTCCTTCCATATGTACCTGATAGCTTGGAGTTGGGGAAGAACATTTTCCCTTTATTTGGGTCAGAGAAAACATGTAGTTTCTAAAAGTACATAGCCATTTGATGAGATGGCTCAGCAGGCAAAGGAATCTACTGCCAAGCCTCATGAACTGCGTTCCATCCATCTCTAAGGATCCACATGGTGGAAAGAGAATACTAACTCCCACGTGTCCTCTAACCACATGTGTGCTGTGGTATGAGTGAATGCAAACAAGTAAGCAAATTAATAAAGTAATACATAAACAATTTTAATTGAAGCATATATAGTTTAACTATATTTAAAAATAAATAGCAATATCTGTTACAGCATTTCGAATAATAAGCAAAAGCAAAGTTCAGCAGCCTGTCATTAATAATTAAAAATATGCTTGCCTGCTGGAGAGTTGGCTCCAGGGTTAGAAGCACTCACTACTCCTGCAGAGGACCTGGGTCTGGTTCCCAGCACCCATGTGGTGATTCACAACCATTTGTAACACTAGTTGCTGCAAATCCAATGCTCTTCTGACCTCTGCAGGCACCAGGTATACACACAGGCAAAATACCCACACACATGATAAATCTAAAACACAAGTTGTACAAGACTGTATAAACTGCAGTACTGGTTGGTATTTTAAATAATGTTGGCTTTTGTGGCTCAGGTTGAGCTGCTCTTTGTGCATTGCCTGGCCTTGATGTGTTTATGTTTTTAGGGATCTTGTCCATAGAACAACTCATCAGCCGAGTGGGCGTGATTGGGGTGACGCTCATGGCCCTGCTCTCCGGATTTGGTGCTGTCAACTGCCCGTACACATACATGTCCTACTTCCTTAGGTAATGCACACTTTGTTTCTTTTCTTTTTCACTGTTACTGGGATGTGTGTGTTATGCCACATTTTTAATATTCACATATTAGATATAGGACTGCTTTTTTATTCTTCTCTTCCTCTGTATCTGTGGGTGTTTGTTGGAAGCCTTTCTAACAAGTCGGGGTTTTTTTGTTTTGTTTTCTCATTTCTTTTGAAACAGCAACTCAGCAAGTAGCCCACATTGGCCTTATGTTAGATTCTCCAACCTCAACCCCCTGGACACTGGGACTACAGGCATGTGCCACCATATCTGGGTCCTTTATTTTTTTCAGTGGCAAATTTCATGGGCCTGTGCCCATGCTATTTAAATGCACATTTCCGATGGGCAACAGTGTGAACTCCCAACTTCAGTAAACTGGTTCCTCCTTAACCTCAAATAGTAGAAAACATTGCCAATTTAAAAATGCTTATGTGTATGGGTGCCTGTGTGTATGTATGTGCATTGTATGTTTGCTTGATGTGCCTGTGTGTATGTAACGTGCATTGTATATATGCCTAGTGTGTGTATGTGTGGATTGTTTGTATGCCTGATGCCCACAAAGAGCCTCAGATGCTGCTTTGGAACTGGAGTTACAGACATTTGAGCCACCATATAGGTGAGAGGAACCCAGGTCCTCTGCAGTAGTGGCTAGTACCCTTTTTTTTTTTTTAATCCCCAGGTTGGTTGGTTTGTTTTCCAGGTTTTGTTTCAGTTTTTTTGATGTTGTTATTGTTTTTGAAGACAAGATTTTTCTTTATAGCTCTGACTGTCCTAGAAGTCACTGTGTAGACCAGCCTGGCCTCAAACTCACGGAGATCCGCCTGCCTCTACCTACCAAGTGCTGGAATTAAAGGTGTGTGCCATAAATGCCTAGCCAGTACTCTTAACCCCAAACCATCTTTCTAGCCACTAAGCACATTTTAAATGCGTCTGGGCCAAAGCTAGTAAAGACTGATGGCTCGGGGTACCCTCCGCTGCTCTAGGATAACAGAGAAATTAACTATAAGAAGCAGCAGTACAAGCATTTTAGCCTAATGGAGGCATTTTAATATTTTCTAGAAAAGCAGGTTCTTGGATTGTTGAGTAACAATGGGGTTTTATGTTTCGACAGATGGTTGGTATGATGCACATGGGCGAGACCCCAAAACATGGCTAAGTTTTTGCTCATTGCAGGAATGTGACTGACACGGATATCCTTGCATTGGAACGGCGACTGTTGCAGACCATGGACATGATCATAAGCAAGAAGAAAAGGTGAGGCCGGCACCCTGCGATCACTGTAAAGGGCTGGAGGCACCCTGCGATCACTGTAAAGGGCTGGAGGCGCCCTGCGATCACTGTAAAGGGCTGGAGGCGTCTCCTCGCTCCTTTTCAGTACAGGGTTGTGCGCCATCAAAGACTTGATCTCGCCTCTGGTGAAGAAGAGTCTCAAGTTCTACTTTCTGGATTTCAACATTTCCCTTTAGATCAACTGCTAGAATGATGTTTGATATCTGGAGGGTGTTTTGTTTTGTTTAATTGCTTTTCCATACATTTATTTAGTGCCACTGTGCAGAGGACAAGGACAGGTACTTTAAGGCTGTTGTCCCACATTTTTACAAACCTTTCCTTGCTTGACTTGAGTTTTTTGTTACTTATTTTTCTCCAACTACCTAAGGTTCCTTTAAGTCTTCTAGCCATTGTTGTTTTTATTTTTTGTTATGTTTTCCTGTCCATCCTAGCTAGAGAGGGCCAAGACAGCAGAGGCCTCCAGCTAAGTCCAGCTTGGTGAGCCTGGGAATCTACTAAGATTCTACTAAGGGGTGCAGGTGACTCGGGGAGTTACGTCACTCAACATCTCACTCCAGTGTGGGTGACACCTCATCAAGTTCTAACGGTAGAGCCCCAACCCTGCAGCCTCAAGGCACTTCTCTCCCGAAGGCCACCCATCTGTGTGCACACACATGCGCACACTCCTTCCTCCAGCAGTGGCCGTAGGAGAGGAGGGACTTCTTGGAGTCTTGTGTCTTCAGAATTATAGCAGCTCTGAGACCCTTCCTTCTACAATAGAATGTTTCAGACTGAGAACAAAATAAATCATCAAAAAGCTATGTAAAAACTACCCAAAAAAGTACTTCCACCGTGCATGTTTCCCAAGGATCTGTGTCACAGTGGACCTGCAAAGCTCTCTGAAATCAACTATCTGCATGTGAATCTTTTGTCATTCCTTAGACTGTGACCTTGAACTAGGTGCTGTGCTTTGTGCCTTTATTTCCTCACATGTAAAAAAAAAAAATGAAGAAATGAGACACACGCCTGTAACTCCAGCACTTGTGAGGCAGAGACAAGAGGATCAGGAGATCAGAGCCTGTGAAGGGTACAAAGTGTGCATCAGTGAGCATGGACACACACACACACACACACACAGCAGACAGACAGGACATGGCAATGCATTAAGACTCATGCAGCCTCTAAGAAGAGTGGATCGTACCTAGCAAAGGTATTGAGTTCATTGTTTCCATAAGCTCATTTATTTTTTTCCTTAGGAAACAGTCTCTGCTAGACACTAGACCACATGTTCATGAGCTTATTATTGTTAAACTTTTATCCACATATGACCAGTAGTGAGTTTTGAATTGACAAGTAGTTTTGTATTTCATATTCCTTCCTTCAGCACATTTCTGTACTTTGGTCCATAGTCAAGTCAGAGAAACCTTAATGGAAGAGACAGCAGTAGACATAAGAATGACAATTTACTGAGTCATGTTTGTCTCTGTATGTGTCTTTACTGAAGTATGAAAGCTAGGCATGTAGCTATACATTTACTTACATACTTGTCACTTATATTTTACACATAAGTCTATAGGAGTAAAGAAAAAAGACTATTCAGAAGTGAATATATATGAATTATTTTGGTCCCCAAGGTTATTATCCCTTTTGTGATATTCTGTTAATGAAAAGACACTACTGATAGTAAGGTAGAATCAGCCCTAAGGCGGTTGTAGATGGACCCTCTCACCCATCTTATACTAACTGTGGTTAGGAATTGGCTCTGACTCAGGCTCATCGCTGCCCGGTTCTTCTGTAAACCCTTGTCTGGTCGGGATCAAGAGTGGTTTGGGGTAAGATTCACTTAACTAGATAGATGCTCAGTTGGACTTGATCAGCACAGCCTTCTCCCGCCGGAGCTAAGGGACATCAAACAGCTAACAACCCTGAGACTCTCCCACTTTGCACAATGTAGAGTAACCTCTTGGCAAAGACCCCGAGCTGGGGAGGAGTGGTGACCAGAGGCCACTTTAGATTTAACAGTGGAGGAGCACAGCACAGTGGCCCGCAAGGATAGTATCTGTTTTGGGCAAGATGGGGTGGTGTGGAGGACATGTCTTAACCTCTGCCTGAAGTCAGATGCTGTTAGGCTGTCTTTCTTAAACTGACCCAGATGGGGACAACATGCATCTGAGGGAACCTTAACCATCAGCCCTCAATGTTTTAAATCAGTGGTAGAGGAAGCTGCCAGGGCTAGCAGTGTGAGTCAAGCAAATGCTTCTGCAGAGAACCTTAACGATGAGTATTTGAAGTCACTGGTAAATGAACAGAAGCAGGAAAAAAATTGACAAGAGCATCAAGTAACTGCTAGAAGCTTCTGGCGTTATTGTTTTAAGTGCACTCCATGGAGTTCAGATTAGCAGAATACCTAGAAAACAAAAGTGAAGTGTTGGAACCAGGGATGCTAGAGGTCTAAGCCCCACAATTTAAATGTCTGCCCCACCCAGAATCCTGCCTTACTCAGTAGTCCATGAACACAGGAAGCTCCAAAGAACCCAAGAAGCTTATCCCTGGTAGCCACCCACATGCTTCTTAGATTTGCAAGTTTCCTCTGCCTGAATGGCTGCCTGAGGTCTGTGCACGCTGGGCACACACTCAGATGACAGGAACGGAAAGCTTTCTGGCATGAGGTATAAGAAGGTAGAGCCCAGGACTGGTGGTTAGAAGTTTGGGAAGATTGTAAGGAAAAGAACCAAAGAGAGTTCTCAAGTATGGCTGTAAAATCTCTCTGGTGTTCTTAGCAGGTGCCTGGATGAGCTAGCTATCCGCCAGTACACTCTGCAGTACTTGGGGAAAAGATCCCACAGCCCACACATATCTAGCAAAGCAAGTCTCTGTCCAAAACTAACTCGGCTGTGAAGAAATGAGACTGAGCGTTTCCACATACAAATAGCAATGGAAACTAACTCCGGATGGGTCCAGATGATGGGGATTTAGCAAGACTTGAAGAATTAGCATAGATTCATTCAAAGGGATGAAGGAAGGCATGATATTAACTAGTGAAAGAAATGGGAGTTACTACAAAAATGCAAATCCAAAGAAAGTTCAGAGAGACAGGTATTTTACCAAATGAATCTGAAGCAGTAAATCTATAGACCTTTTCCTCCCCTGAAAGAAATCCAAATCTAAGTTTCACAATATGTAGAAAAATGATTTCAAAACAGACCTTGAACTTAGATGTAAAGTATAAAACTACAAAACTTTTACGGGGGAAAAAAATTCTTTGAGATGTAGAGCTAGGCAAAAATTCTAACACTTAATCCCAAAACACAGTCCATACAACAAAATGTGAATAAACTGGACTCCACCAAAATTAAAAAACTGCTTTGCAGAGGATTAAGTAGAGAAGGAGGAAAGACACGCTACAGGCTGGGAGAAAGTATTTGAGAAAAGACTTTAGAAGTAGAAAGGCCTCTGAAGTTCACATTAAAAACAACAGCATAATCAGTATAATGTGGGCAACAAACATTGGGATGGGATTGGGATTGTGGAAAGACACTCGACATAGTAGTAGGTAACTGGGGACATGCAGTTAAAACCACAGTAAGGTTAATGCACAGTTAGGATGACTCAAATAAAAACTTGGTGACAGTGGGCTGGAGAGATGGCTCAGCAATTAAGAGCACATTCTGTGATTGCATAGAACCCATGCTTAGTCCCATCACCACCTCAGACAGCTTATAACCCCCTGTACTTCTAGCTCCAGGGGATCTGAGACCTCTTCTGGATCCCACAGATCACTCATGTGCGCACTCACACTCACACAGACACATAACACACACAGATATATTCACATGCGCCCACACACACACAGATCTATTCACGTGCACACACACAGATTCACTCACGTACACACACACACATAATGGTGATGACACAAAATGCTAGTTGGCAAGGGTGCAGAAAACAGGCCTGATGTGAGTTGCTGGTACAAATGTGGGAGAAACTAGAATACAATCTAGCTCTCCTTTAAAACAAAAATAATTATGCCAGTATTCAAGTCCAGAAATTGTAGTGGGTATCCATGCAAAGAAATAAAATTTTATATTCATACAAAAATGAATACAGCAATGTTTCTAGCAGCTTTATTTATAGAAGCCCCAAACTAGAAATAAGTTTTCATGGGTGAGTAGTTAAAAACACTGGTACAGCCTTACTGTGTAATGTTATTTAAAAATAAAAATGAACAAACCGCTAGTGCACACAACAACCTGAACAAACCTGCAAAACCTTTTGCTTAATGGAAAGAAGGCCATTCACCAAAGGATAAACACTGTTTCACCATAATCAAATGCACACTCCAGAAATGGCAAAACTGAAGCAGTGGAGGATGTATTAGCCATTGCCAGAGGTTGAGGAGTTGGTGGTAGGTGAACTGGGCTATCCAAGGGCAAAAGGTCCTTTGAGTGCAGAGATGTTGTATTCATAAGTGTTTGAATGTCATTATCCTGTTGCAGGAGATTGGAAATCTGGGTAGAGTACATGAACTCTATACTTAAAGACATATGTGAGTGTACATCACCTCTAAAATTCAGCCTTCTGATAGGCTGGTGAGATAGTTCAGCAAGTAAGGATTTTGGCCACCAAGCCTGGTGATATGAGTTCCATCCTCAAACTCACATGCTTGAAGGATACACACATGCATGCACACGCATACACACATGCACATGCATACACAAATAAACAAATAGCTAGAAATGGGAACCATAAAACAATAGGGTGACACGTTAAAAGTAGGGTAGAGAGCTTATGTTAGCAGTTGTGTGTGCGAAAATTGGAATGGGTCAGAGTTAGCATGGCCTCTGCACAAGGATAACATGAAAGTTCATGAAGTGTTTCATAGTTTTTAAAAAGCAGAGTAGACATTTTTCAGCCTCTTCCCATTCATGCTTCCGCCAGACCTCAATCACCTGCTTGTGGTTTGCGTATTGGGAGTTTTGAAGGGCACAGCCAATAGCAAATGGCTTTCTTCATGTTACAAGATAAGCTTACAAGAAAAGGCAGTAGGGCAGCTGAAGGTAAAAATGGCTACAGTGCTTGCGTGTGTTTGAATACACCTCAGAAAGTTTGATCCTCTGCATCTTTTCTTCTTAAGTAAATGTTTATTTTTGTCTACAACTTATTTGCCAAGAGCAAACCTGGGTTAGAATTAGGTGATTAAAATCAAAAGTAAAAGTGAATTGTCTAAACCTGGGTTTACTGGTCTGTGCACAGCCAACTTTCACTTCTGGTTATTCCGTTTGTCTGTCTGCTGAGAGTGGCAGCCAGTGCCACACTATAGCCTTTAGATGTTGGCAGGGACAACAGAAATGGCTTCTGTGCTCCCTCTTTCAAATGCCTTGCCATAATCCCAGGTGTTAAGCCCAAGAGCTCTGAACTGCATAGCACAGAACCTCATCACATGCTTGTCCCGTGTTCCCATCAAGGACTGACGTAATTGTGGGCCTGAGCCTTCTCTCGGTTCCTTTGTCTTCCCAACATGCCACATTGTGGGGTGCGCCAGCCGGGGTGGGGAGCTCAAGCTTGATGCCACATTGTGGGGTGCGCCAGCCGGGGCAGAGAGCTCAAGCTTGGGCACTTTCATTCCTCCATTACCCAGGCAGAGCTCACTGAGGGGGAAGCCATTTCTGTAGCCATCGTTGTGAATGCCCTTCTAACTGGTGCTTTCAAAGTTTAGCCCACAGAAATGCCACATGGCCCTTGGTCCCCTGGTGCCATTTATAAAAGTCCCAGACATGAAGCCAATGCCGCTGCTTCCTCATAGCCATTTTTATCTCTTGTCACCCAGAAATGTCCACCTTAAATTCCTCTGTAGTGGGCTCCTCTGTCTGTACTAGCTTCACCCTGGTTGATTTTAGGCCCATTGTACTCTTCAAATAATCACTTGTATGTTGTCTAAGCTCGCAAGGACCTTGTTCTTAATACCTCTGGGTAGATTGGAACGTGCCAGCAGCTGCCACAGCTCTCCACAGACATGGAGGGGTAGGAGTGGTACCATTGTCTCTATCTAGCAGGAGCTCAGGTAACAGTCATGGGAAAGGTTGTCTCTGTGAGTTAGGAGGCTCTGTTTGTCATCTTCTTTTCCCTCTTTGCCGTCTGCTTTTCCTTGTGTTCCTCCTTTGTGCCTGGTCCCTTATCTAGATTTGTTAGCCACCTTGTTCCTTAAATGATATTACCATGTGGTAAGGTTGAGGCTGACTGTGACTATTAATCTTAGCAGCCATCCAGAGTGAGGAAGGAGACTAAGTCTGTCAGCTTTCAGGTTGCAGGGCCAGTCCTCAAGTTTATTGCCTGCTCCACATCCTGTGCCCCTCATAACCCTGAACCAGTGGAGACACAGCTATGACATAGGAGGTAGATGGGACAAGGACAAGGCACACTTGGATGCTCAGCCTTCTGTTTTCTTCATCTCAGGATGGCCGTGGCACGGAGAACCATGTTCCAGAGGGGGGAGGTGCAGAACAAGCCGTCGGGACTCTGGGGCATGCTGAAGAGTGTGACTGCGTCAGCCCCCGGCAGTGAAAGTATCCTTTATCCCCTTTGACTCCTCTCCCCTCTGGACCAGGGGCAGAAAGAACAGTAGTGCTGGGTCAGTGCCTGCTAGGGTACCTGACTGCATCAGGGTCCAGGCTGGCCAGCGCTGGGCATAGGAAGTACAGTGGGCGCATCATCTTTCACAGCTCACCACTGAAGCATTGTCTCTGAGCTGGAGGGAACCTGTACTCACTCTTTCCATGTTACAGGTAAAGAACCCAGAGAGGTGGAGTCACGTGGGGGTTTGTGGCAAATGTGGGAGCAGAACTGTGGCCTCAGCTTCATAACTTCCTCCACTCTGCTTTCTCCCTCCCATTGCTGCGAGACCACAGAGCTCCCTATAGCAGGGGGTGGTTCACGCACGTGGTGGCAACCAAGTTATAGAGTGCCCACACAGATTTCAAGTAGCGCCACATCTTTCTTAAAATACCAGGTGACGCCTGCCGTTGATGGTGCACGCTTTAATCCCAGCACTCAGAAGGCAGAGGCAGGTGAATGTGAGTTTGAGGCCAGCCTGGTCTACAGAGTGAGTTCAAAGACAGGCTCCAAAGCTACAGAGAAACCCTGTCTCAAAAAACAAAACAAACAAACAACAAAAACAGATTGTTCCTGGCCCACTGGCTTAGAGGTTCAGTAATTCCCATAAGGGGATAACCAGATCGGTGTGTAGTCCCCTCCCCACCCCACCCCCAGGCTATCAGGTCAAACTGGCATCGTCCTGCTTCCCTCTCACCTGGATAAGTTGGTTGGAGAAGGATTCAGGCTGTTGTGATAGATCATGCCACACCGTTCTGATGTGGCTGCAGATAAGAATCAGACAGAGACCGCAGGTGACTGGCAGAACAGGGAAAAGGAGTAATTGGGTCTAGAGAGATGGCTCAGTGGCTAAGACAGTACACTGCTCTCGCAGAGTTCAGTTCTCAGCACTCATCTCAGAGGGTCCATAGCCACCTGGAACTCTACTTCTGGGGAGACCCAACACCTCTGCCTTCTGAGGGCACATGCACACATACGCATACCCCTCCCCACACGTACATTACAAAAAGTAAAATCAGACTCTTTTAAAAAAAGAAAAACAAGTAATCCTGAAGCATTTGCTTTGTGTCTCCTATTTCCAGGCAGGGTGCTGAGTGATAGGATGATGAGCTCAGTCCCTACTCACGGGAGACAGAGACCTATGTTCATGCCACTCTGACGCTAAGGCACGTAGGCCTTGCTGGTAGCCACTGTTGACGGGAAGAACTGAGGGTACTTGTTCATTTCACAAAGGGAGGAAGATCTGAATTACTGGGACTCTCTGTCTGACTATCTTTATTACTTTAAAACTCATCAAAGGTTAAGAAATAAACCAACAAGCATCTCAAGGTCACTGAGGTATGGGAGCTAGCATCCGGCAGAAGAAAGAGCAGATGGCACTGTATACCCACACCTAGATGTGTGGCTGGAGCAGGCTGTTTAACTCTCGAGCCTTTCCCTGTCTGAGAAATGGAACAGCTGTCTCGTGGGAATGTGGGAGAGTCAAAGAAGATAGCATCTGGAAGATGACTAAAGGCCAGCCTGGTGACTCGGTGACCACGGGGCCAACACAGTATTTCTCAGATGGCATGGAGCTGCTGTATCATAGGTCTCAGCAGTTGGATTTGACTTGATAGATAAAAAGCAAAATCCATGCACAGGAAAGCATCTGCCTGAGAAACCAGATGACTTTGGGGGTGGCTCCTTCACACCTCTGTCAGGCCAGAGCACAGCCCTGATGCACTATTGGCTGAGGTGGGAAACTCAAGATACAGGCAATTCCCAGCGTCTGCCCTTTGGCAGCTAGAGCAAGTCCTTCTTTTCTCCCTGCTGTTTTCTGAAATTTCTCTGTGATTTAAACCTTGATGGCCACTTTCTGCCAGATCTGACTCTTATCCAACAGGAAGTAGATGCTCTGGAAGAACTAAGCAGGCAGCTCTTTCTGGAAACAGCTGATCTGTATGCTACTAAGGTACAGAGCAAGGAGACAGCTATGGTTTTACCACATGGTTGAAGAGAGGATAAGACCTCCTGGCTTGTCAGAGCCCTGTGTGACCAGGCGGTGACCTGTGTAAGCTGAATGGCCTTAGGAAAGAGGGCTTGTGTTTAGGGACTCCCTGAGACTGCAAAATCATTCCTGGAACCCTCTCAACAAAAGAATTGGAGGGATAGAGGAGACACGGGGATGGGGGAGGGGGAACTGGCCCCGCCCTTCCTACTTCAGGCCCAGGGTAAAGATGCTCACCCCTAGTTCTCCTCACTGTCTCACAGATTAGCCCCGCCACAAGAATGATAGGTCCCCCTGTCTTCTGGTAACTTCCCAAGGCACACCCGACATGCAGTATGATCGAAATACACAAATTTAAGGCTGTAAACGACCCTGATCTTTTCTGAGGGCAACTTCTTGGTAGCTGTGAAGGGTAGAGTTGCCAGTGCTTTGGGGACAGGCCTGAGCCCGCTTACCACCTGACCCTGAGCAAGTTGTTTAACCTCTAAGATTCATCTGTAAGAGAAGGTTCTAGAACGCATCTCCTGAGGGTGTGAAGATTAGGACATTCACGGGAATAGACTGTCTTGTCTCTGAAGTCAGCACCCAGCGCAGGTTGCCTTAGTAGCATCACTGAATATTACTGCCATGGGTATCATTTTGACTCAACAGTGAGTTAGTCGTAGGCATGGGAATGCTTTTGTTGAAAATGTTTGCCTTTGCTAAAAGCCATGTTTTTTGTTTGATTTTCCTTAGGAAAGAATTGAATACTCCAAAACATTCAAGGGGAAGTATTTCAATTTCCTGGGTTACTTTTTCTCTATTTACTGTGTCTGGAAAATTTTTATGGTATGTATGTTATAGGATTTTTTGTTTATTATTATTATTATTATTATTATTATTATTATTATTATTTATTGATTATATTGACACCTGCTATGTATTATTTCCATTATTGTTGTGTGTTAGTGTTTATTAGTAATAATAAAGTCAGTGTGATTGCATGCTCACATGTAGAAGCCAGAGGACAGCTCTGGGAGTCATTTCTCTCCTTTTGTTGGAGCTGAGTACTCCGGCTAGCAGGCCCGTGGTCATCAGGCAGCTCTCTGAATCCACCTCCTGCCTCGGCAGAGGAATGCAAGGGTTCCAGATTCAGGCTATCATGCCCAGCTTGCAGTCAGGCAGGGGATCTGGGACTCAGACTTTGGATCCTCAGACTTGCAAGTGGCAAGCACTTTCCTCCTGAACTGTCTCCCCAGCAACCGTGTTTTTAGTGGTCAGAATTTGGTGATTTTTTCCAGGAGTGGCAGACATTAGAGGGGCTTGAGTGATTACAGTGAGCTCAGTTACACATCTCGAGTCAGCAGAGGACATCGCCGTCACACCACCAAGCATCTCTTCTTTCCCCCTTTCCTTTGGGGGACTTAGAAAGAGGGTATGTGCGTTTCTTGTTTTACACTTTTCCATAATGCCGGTGAGCATCTGGCCATCTCACCTCAACCCCAGCTTTCAACTCAGAATAAAAGCCACCTGCCAGTTTCCATAAGGTGCACCGGAAGCTTAAGTCCAACATTCTCAAATGTGCTTCTGTGGGTCATACGTGTCTTCTGCCCTGTCCACTCTGGCTGTCCCTCGGTGATTGATCTATTTGTCGTTTATTTATTTTTCGGCTTCTGACTCTGCTGTGGTGTCCATGAGTGTCCTGTGGTTGTAGGAAAAGGCTGATTTGATGTTCTTGTTGGGTGAGTTTCCTGCTGGATCTGTTTGCACAAGGAACAGCTTTGTCAGCTTGTTGGCTAATTTGGATCAGTGTCGATGAGTGGGGGCCTAGAATCAATGGGGCTAATGTCAGTAGTCCTCACATGACGTTTTCAAATATGATTCGTCCCATGTGAGAAGGAACAGAGGTGCTGTGCTCCATCTGATCCTTCCTGAGCTGCAGCCTCTAGGGAGTGTGTCACCTGTTTAACAGCTGCGTCCAGGTATGGTTGACCCGTGCTAAGATGCATGTAATGCACAGTTGGTAAGTTTGACACCGGGTACGTCTGTACCACAGCTGTTACTCGGTTCAGATAGAGAGAACCCAACATGGCCAAATTTCCGTGCACCCTTTAGAATGCCTCCAGTCCTGAGGTGGCAGCTTGTCTTTTTTTCTGTCACAGTGTATTCGTTTGTATTTTCTAGATGTTTATGTAAATGTAATCAGACAGTGCATACTTTTTCTGCCTTTTGTTTGTTTTCCATCCAGCAGGATTATTGGAGTCTGCCCATGTTGCTGTATGTACCAGTAATTTGTTCCTTATTATTGCTGAACAGATTTCTATGGTGTGGCTGTGCCACGGTTTGCAAATCCACTCACCAACCTCTAGTGGATATCTGGTTGTTTTCCATTTGGGGATGTTACATGTGGTGCCATGAACACACATGTACAAGTCTGTGTGTAGACATATGCTCTCTTTTCTTTTGGCCTCACACTGTAGGGCAGGGCATCTGACTCATATGACAAACACGTGCTTTACTGTAAACCTCATTATTAAGGGAGTTGTATGCTCAGGCGCACCTGTGGGGGTCAGAGGGCAACTTTGGAGGTCTTTCTTTCCTCCCACTTCAGTGTGGGTCTGGGGATTGAACTGGGGCTGTCAGGCCTGAGAAGTAAGCATAACCAGTAATTGTTGGTGTTTTCAGAGTTGTGCAACTGTAACCATAGTCAGGTCTGAACATTTTTACCAAACCAGAACCATTGCCTCAGTCAAGTACTGAACATTTTCAGTACACCCAGAAGAATTCCCAAATTCCCTAGCAGCTATGCATCTGTCCTCCAGTTCCTGTGCCCCCAGTCTCAGGCAAGCCCTTGTGTCTGGATTTTCCTCTGCTGGAATTTTGTGGCTGGGATCACACAGTTAAGTCTTTGATTTAGCAGAGTGCTGCTAAGGTTTGTCCATTCTGTACCACCCACATCCTCTAAATGACTAAATGGTACTGTTCCCTTCTTACGGCTACATAGTGTTCTGTAAGGGTAATACCACAGTTACTTTATCCACTTATTGGTTGGTAAGCATTTGGCATGTGTCCATTTATTGGTCCTTATCACTAATGCAGTTGTGGACGTCCGTGTGTAAGTTTTTCAGTGGACATACTTTGATTTCTCTCACATGACTAAAAGTGTTGCTGTGTCATATGTTAACCTTGTCATGGGTTAACCTTCTGCAGACCTGGCAGACAGTTGCCCTTAGTGGTAACACCAGTTTACGCCCTGCCAACAGGAAGTGAGAATTCTAGCTTCTCTAACACTTCTACTCTCCCCTCCTCTGTGTGTGTGTGTGTGTACATGCACACACTAAAGCCATGTGAAGAAGTAAGGATTGTGGTGGTATAATGTTATAAAAATATCCCTTATGTTCTAGAACTTCCTCGACCCTACAGGCAGTTAATAATACACCTTGAGGTCACTTAAGACTACTAGCCTATGCTTGTTTGACCAGCATTTAAGAGAACAATGTAACAACTAACCTTACTTGCCTTGGGTTTCCCAGCATTTACAAACTGAGCTAATGCATGGCAGTGATCTTAAATTCTGTGCTCTTCCATACCCCTGGCCCAGAGAGCAGTGCATGTGTGTTTGTATGTGTACTATGATAGTCATTTGTTGAAAGCAACAAAAAGTTTGAAGAGCAACCTTATGAAGTGAATATCCGCCATATATGTTGGAAGTAGCATACAATAGCATTTGTGTCAGTTGAGGTTGTTGGAGTAGAGTGCAATCCCTTATAAAACTCAGTGAAAGGTTTCTATAGAGTGTCCCTAAGTCCTCCCTCATGTGATACTTTCTGTGCTTTTCAATAAAAACAGCAGAGCCCTTTGTTAGGGACACATAGACAGCAGACAGGCAGGCGCAAATTCAGACTCACAACAGACAAATTACAGGCAGATCGGAAACTGTAAGCTACAGAGAGATGGAAGACAGGGGAGCTAAGTGGAGAATTCAAAGTCAGGTTCCCTCTAGCTTAAGTTACTCCAAGGGGAAGTGCTTTGGCATCTTTCCTTAATGTGACATTGACAAATATTGGTGACTCTGAGTTTTTCGCTGATGTGATTACCTAATGCAGAGGACAGCTTTTGTGAGTAAGTTCCCTTGTACTGGGCCAGGGCCTCTTGTTTCTGCTGACGGCCAGCCTGCAGCTCTGCCTCCCACCTTACCAGCAGGAGAGTTGGGGTTACAGTGCACCACTGTGCCCAGCTTTTTATGTGGGTTCTAGGGTTTGAACTCAGACTGTCAGGCTTGTACAGCCTAGTGGTTTCACAGCCGAGCCTTTCACAGCCGAGCCATCTCGCTGGCATTGTGTTTGTCGTAACCCTCCTGGTAGCTTCAAGGCTCAGCCTGTCATTCTCGATTTTGGTAACTTATAGCTTTCCTGTTTGGGAGGGGGGGGTTGTTTGTTTTTTCCTTATTGGAGCCATAGAGTTTTGCTGATTTTTTTATTTAACTTTTCAGAGAACCAGTAGGGGGTTCATTAACTCTTTTCTGCTTCCTATTTCATTGGTGTGTGCAACCCTTCATTATTCCCTTCTGCTTGTTTGGAGTCAGCTCTTACAATGAAACTAAGGACTTTGATTGGAGGCTTCTCCGAGAAAGGTGTTCCTTGCTATAAATGTCTTAAATGCCATTTTAACTACATTTCACTCTGATGTATATCTTTCAGTTCCAAATGCTTTTTGATTTTTCTCTTGATTTTTTTTCCCCTCTATCTCACTGTAGTTAGAAGTGTGTAATAAACTATCTAGGGGTTAGAAATGTAGCTTATTTGGTAGAATGATTGCCTAGAATGCTTGACACCCTGGGTTCGAATCCCAGAATTATGTAATCCAGGTGTGGTGGCACATGCGTACAAATCCAGTGATTGGGAGGTAGAAGCAAGAGGATCGAAAAGGCCATCCTCAGCTACATAGTGAGCTCTAGACCAGCCTGAGCTACTTGAGACACTGTCTCAAAAAAAAAAAAAAAAAAAATCTGGAGATCTTTTGAATATCATTCTCCATTTGACTCTATGCTCTAAGAACATAGGTTTTATAATTTGAATAGACACCATCCCCTGAGCTCAGTATATGAGTGTTAAGCATGCCCTTGAGTAGAAGGTGTATCTACTCTTCTTGTCTAGTATGTTTTATAAATGTTCACCCATGATATTATTAAGGGTGTCTGCAGTCCTACCAATTTCCTGGGTTGTTTGTTTGATGTGTATGGGTATTTGGCTTGCATATGTATCTGTGTACCACATGCATGCCTGGTGTCCATGGAGGCCAGAAGAGGGATGGATCCCCTGCACTGGAGCTGGCTGATGTGGGTGCTGGGAACAGACTTAGACCTCTGCAAGACAGTAAGCTCTCTTAACTGCTAAGCCATCTCTCCAACTCCTAGCTTCTTACTTTATCAGTTATTAAGTTATTAAGGGGGGGAAATCCCAAGTCCTTTGAATTTAGGCATTTTCCTTTTTTCTATCAGTATTTACTTATTGTATCTTTAAGATCTATTTTTATTACTTTTAGGTGTGTGTGTGTGTGTGTGTGTGTGGTATGTAGGTGTAGGTGCCTGAGCCTGTGGGGTGTGTGTGTGTGTGTGTGTGTGTGTGTGTGTGTGTGTGTGTGTAGAGGTGTATGTGTGTAGAGGTGTGTGTGTGCAGGTGCCTGTGCCTGTGGAGCCAAGGGACATTGGATTCCTGTAGAGATGGAGTTGCAGGTGTTTACAAGGCACTTGATGTAGGTGCTGGAGTTCAGACTTAGGTTCTCTGCAGGAGCAGCAGGGTCTCCTCACCTCTGTGCTCCCCCCCAGCTCCCTGCTTCACCTATTTTGAGGCTTTGTTGTTGTTGTTTATGTTTTGACCCACACTTACTGGATTTTGTTTTGAGAAGGGTCTCACGGTGTAGCCTTGGCTGAACTGGAACTCCACTGACCAGGCTGGCCCTGAACTCAGAGACTGGCCTGCTTCTGGGATTAGAGGCGAGCAGTGGGGCTGTGTGCACTGAGCGTGGTCAGTTCAGGGTCAGGCGCCCCCGGCTGGGCATCACTTGCCTGAGATGTATAGTGTGTTACTTCTCAGTATTCTTACTTTTTTACTTAATGTGTGAAATAATGGGTTCCCCTGTAACACTGAAGCTATTTTATCAGCTCTAAACGTTTAGAACCATTGTATTTCCTTTGTGATTATAAAATGACCCTTCTAACACCACCCTGGCAATGTTTCTGCTGCAAAGTCCATATGGGATATTAACACTCTGCCTCTGTTGGATTAGTGCTACTCTATGTCCTTTTCCATCCTTTTGCTTTGACCTATTAGTATCTTCCTATTTAGAGTGAGTTTCTTGTGAATGACATATACAGTAATCAGGTTTCACTTTTTTTTTTTTTTTTAATTCAGTTTCACAGTCTGCCATTTCACTGGTGGATTTAAACCAGAGATTAACAATCTATGGTCCACAGGTGAACCCAGCTCCACTTTGCCTTTGTAAATAAGGTTTTATTGGCACAGAGCCAAGCCCAGTCCTTTATTGTCATGGCTGCTGTCACACTACAGAGGCTGAGTTTGCTGACCCATGACTTACACTCTTTACATGTGGTATTGTTAATGATGGCTAGTTAAAAGCTCCCGTGTGGGCATTGGCTTGGCATCTGTCACACCTCTTCTTGCCCTCCTATTTGTTAAGCTGCCAACCACTGGGGTTAACTGGGTGTCTTTCCTTCTATGCGCTCTCGTTTGTTAGCTCTTAGAGCAGTCACGGAATCACCCCAGGAAATGACCCAGTGTTTCTTGGTTCGTACTCTAACCCATCTACCAGGATGCTAGCTTTCTGACCTCTGAACCATAGACTATGTATGCTTTATAACCCTTGACGCTTTACAGAAAATAAATATGGGATAGACTCATTTGCCTATGCATGAATAGACAAAATAGATTTCCTATTCATGACTTAGATTGGCGGTACAGTTAAAATATATTTTAGGAAATATCAACCTGTAAGATAGGTTCATTAATTCATGTGGAATCATTTTTTATTAAAAATTTTAAATTATATGTGTTTGTGTGTGCATGTGTCCCAGCACATGTGACATGGGGCATGTGTGGTGGTCATAGGACAACTTAATAGGGGTCAGTTCTTGACTTCACATGTGAATCCGAGGATTACATTTAAATGGTAAGGCTTGGTAGCAAGTGCCTTTGCTCCCTGAGCCATTGGGGTTGTGTGTCACTGAGACCGTGATAAAAGGTGTTCTAACATAAAGCTCTGTCTCTGCAGGCAACCATCAATATTGTTCTGGATCGAGTTGGGAAAACTGACCCTGTCACCAGAGGCATTGAGATCACTGTGAATTACCTGGGGATCCAGTTCGATGTAAGAGCCATTCTAGATCCTGGCTTGTTTCCTTCTGCTCCAGCCAGCCATAGCTTGACACTCAGTCATTAACCCCTGAACTTTGAGTCCTTTTGTCCTCTGTGTGCTTGAAGCTCACATGGCGCGTTTGTAAGCAGCCAGGTTTAGCTGTCTTAGTGTAGGGCCATAAGCTTTGACCTGGGTGTGACCTGGGTCCTCCTGGCCTGCCCTCGCCAGTCCACAGCCTGTCCACAGCCAGCTATGGCTTTGCCAGTTTCTCTGAGCCAAGTGTTCAGATCTTGCCTGTGATACTCAGTGAGCTCTTCAAACTCACAACTCACCTTTGATCTCCTGGTAGAAAAGTAACAACTAATTAGTGTTCTGAAATAGAGCTGAAATATTTTCTACTGTAAGAAACGGTCTTTGTCAGTGAAGGTGGGCCTCGGACTAAAGTTGAATTTGTCACCTGTGCACAAAGTTGAGGATTTTTTAATCATTTCTCTCTATTTCATAAAACCAGGCATAAACACACCTTATCTCAAGTTCAGTGTCTTTATTCATAGTATAATGTGTTTTCTAGTTGACATCATTCAGGCTGATGAACACTTTGATAGTAAGGCTGGTGTCATACTTCTTTGTCTTTTGTGAACTACTAAGCTTATCTGAGCCTGATGAGGATACATGTTGCCCTTGGTCCTGCATCTCAGCATAGCAGGTCCCCGATATCAAGGGCAGCTAGGTAGAATGAGCTGCTGTCCTCAAGAAGCAATGCCGAGGATGATTTTGTTCTTTTTAAGGAGGGTCTCACTATGTAGCACAGGTTGGTTTCAAGTTCACAGTCCTCACTGTGGAGGCAAAGGAGGATGCTATGGCTAATCCTCCCTTTGCCTTATTTCTCAGTAAGGGTCTCTCATTGAACTTGGGGCTTGACATTTTAGCTATGCAGAATCTGCTTGTCCCTAGCTGCCAATGCTGTTGTTCAGGCACACATGGCCTTGCCCAGCTTTTACAGGAGTGCTTGACATTTCAGCTCAAGTCCAATTGCCTTCACAGCAAGCACTCTTACCCACTGAGCATTTCCCCAGCCACTAAAGTACACATTCTTAATGATGGATCAGCAGCAAATTCTTTCTGCATGTGACAGATCGAGCCATCTTTTCCTTCGGGTCACGTGGAATTCTAGTCTTTATTATTGGGGCCTGTCTGAATTTCGCATTTAAATTTCACTTGGCTTTCTGGGCTTGCTGGGAATGGCAGCACTCGGGAGATGGGGGCAGGTAAATCTCTAAATTCAAGGCCAGTCTGGTCTACATAGCAAGTTCCAGACTAGGTAGGGCTACCCAGTGAAATCCTGTCTCAGCAGCAAGTGTTTCCTTGACTGGGCTACGCTTTTAGATGTGAGCACTCTGAGGCTGCTCACTTGCATCTGTCCCAGCCTGGTTCATCTACTTCCTCCATGTTCATGCTTCTGAATGAACAACCAGCCCTTTGGATGTTGGTGTGACCTCAGCCTCACACACCTGAGAGCAGAGGCAAGCACAGGTTCCCAAAACTGCTTCTCCCAGTCAAGCAGTGCAGAAAAAAGAGCTCCATTGTGTGGCTCAAGTGAAATTCACTAGGAATACTGTGCAGTCTCACTGTAGTGCCGTTGGTCTTCACTCCGTAAGTGCTGTGTGATCATCGGTCCTTCATTCACCACCTTGAAAACAATGAGTTTATTTCCTAATCCCTCCTTCTGCACTCCTCACAGTAGGACCATCTCATCAGCTATGGGTTTCCTGATTATTGCTTTTTTCCCTCATTTCTTGTACTTGCTTTCTTTGACCCTTGAGACTTGAATAAGTCTGCTAATTAAAGAATCTAATGCAGTCTTTTCAAGGTATCTACCACCTATAGGTATTACTTCAAAAGAGGAACCTAATGGAATCCCTTCTCATAGTCACAAAAGTAATCAGAATTCACATTAGCTCTCACCTCGGCCTGGAAATGTAATGGCCTGTTTTTCTTCCTGTTCTGATGGCAGGTGAAGTTTTGGTCTCAACATATTTCTTTCATTCTGGTTGGAATAATCATTGTCACATCCATCAGAGGACTGCTGATCACTCTTACCAAGGTATGTTGCATCATGGTGTTTAAGGCCTTATTAATTACGTGACTTCTGAGTTAGATCCTACACGTAGTCTTGAACAACTCCGAAGTCATCCAGAAAAATAAAAAGGCTGTTAAACTTTCTCTGAAGGTGAGGGTAAAGTAAGACATCATCTACTATCCACATATCATCCCAAAGGTAATAGAGATAAGGGATCCATTCTGTTCAATGAGCTGTCATCCATTCTTTGGTTGAGGGGGATCTAGATTGCTTCCAGGTTCTGGCTATTATAAATAATGCTGCTATAAACATAGTTGAACAGATTTCCTTATGGTATGATTGTGCATTCTCTGGGTATATGCTTAAGAGTGGAATTGCTGGGTCTTGAGGTAGATCATTCTCATTTTCCTGAGAAACCACCATATTGATTTCCAAAGTGGCTGTACAAGTTTCCATTCCCACCAGCAATGGAGGAGTGTTCCCTTTACTCCACATCCTCTCCAGTGTAAGCTGTCATCAATGTTTTTGATTTTCGTCATTCTAACAGTTGTAAGATGGTATCTCAGAGTTGTTTTGATTTGTATTACCCTCATGGCTAAGGATGTTGAGCAATTCTTTAAGTGTTTTTCAGCCATTTGAGATTCCTTTATTGAGAATTCTCTATTTAGATTTGTACCCCATTTTTTAATTAGATTATTTGGTAGTTGATATCTAGTTGTTTGAGTTCTTTGTACATTTTGTAGATCAGCCCTCTGTCAGATGTGGGATTGGTGAAGATCTTTTCCCATTCTGTGGGCTGCCATTTTGTCTTGCTGACTGTGTCCTTTGCCTTACAGAATCTTCTCAGTTTCAGGAGGTTCCATTTATTAATTTTTGATCTCAGTGTCTGTGCTACTGGTGTTATGTTCAGGAAGTGGTCTCCTGTGCCAATGCATTCAAGGGCACTCCCTACTTTCTCTTCTAAGAAATTCAGTGTGGCTGGATTTATTTTGAGGTGTTTGATCCATCTGGACTTGAGTTTTGTGCATGGTGATAGATATGGATCTATCTGCAGTCTTCTACATGTCAGCATCTAGTTATGCCAGCACCATTTGTTGAAGATGCTGCCTTTTTCCCATTGTATACTTTTAGCTTCTTTGTCAAAAATCAAGTGTTTGTAAGTGTGGATTAATATCAGGGTCTTCAATTAGATTCCATTGGTCCACTTCTCTGTTTTTGTGCCAATACCAAGCTGTTTTCAATATTATAGTAGAGCTTGAAGTCAGGGATGATGATGCCTCTGGAAACTCCTTTATTGTACAGGATTTTTTTTTTCATATAAAGTTATTTTTTCAAGGCTTGTGAAGAATTGTGCTGGGATTTTGATAGGGATTGAATTGAATCTGTAAATTGCTTTTGGTAAGATTGCCATTTTTACTATGTTGTTCCTACTTATCCAAGAGTGTGGGAGATCTTTCCATTTTCTGATATCTTCTTTCTTTAGACTTGCAGTTCTTGTCATACAGGTCTTTCACTTGTTTGGTTAGGGTTACCCCAAGATATTTTATGTTGTTTGTGGCTATTGTAAAGGGTGATGTTTCTCTCATTTCCTTCTCAACCCATTTATCATCTATATATAGTAGGGCTACTGACTTTTTTTCTTTTCTTTTAGTTAATCTTGTATCCTGCCACTTTACTGAAGGTGTTTATCAGGTGTAGTAGTTCCTTGGTAGAGTTTTTCGGGTCACTTATGATGTAAACTGTCATATCTACAAATAGTGAAATTTGACTTCTTCCTTTCCAGTCTGTATCCCCTTGATCTCTTTTTGTTGTCTTATTGCTCTAGCTAGAACTTCAAGTACAGTGTTGAAGAGATATGGAGAGAGTGGGCAGCCTTGTCTTGTTCCTGATTTTAGAGGAATCGCATTGAGTTTCTCTCCATGTAGTTTGTTGTTGGCTTGCTGTATATTGCCTTTATTATGTTTAAGTATGTTCTTTTTATTCCTGATCTCTCCAAGACCTTTATCATGAAGGAGTGTTGGATTTTGTCAAAGGCTTTTTCAGCATCTAATGTGAGGATCACATGGGTTTTTGTTTTTGTTTTGTTTTGTTTTTCAGTTTGTTTATATGGAGGATTACATTGATGGATTTTCTCTATAACCAAATTTGACACGTGGTGTTCAGCAAATACTTAGAAAAAATGACAGGCAGACATTCAGTGTTAGAATGATTGTAGGTCACACGTGAGGAAGATAGGGTACAGAACATGCAGCTCTTTTCTGAGCCACATAAGACCACATGGTGTTGAAAAATGGATCCTCCTGGAAGAAGATCCAAACACTGAGAGAAGAGAAATTGGGAAAAAGGCATCTAGCACAACTAGGGAGACCTCAGGGGCCCCTTGGCAGCTGCCAGCGCTTGCAGTGACCCAAAATTGCTGTTTAGTGCTGTGTTGTGATGTCAAGGGCATTATAGTTTCACACATAAAACCACCAACCATCTCAGAAGGAAACTGGTTTTTCTTGTATTTTAAATCCCTCTCTGTAGCCTCAACCTCTGCATGGGCTGTACTTTCTGTGCCGTGAAGGAGATGCTATTAAAGGCTAATTGTTTAGCATATTGTTCATGGCAGGAATCTATCTGTACCACCCAAGCCCGTCTCTCCTCTTTCTCAACAGTTCTTTTATGCCATCTCCAGCAGTAAGTCCTCCAATGTCATTGTCCTGCTGTTAGCACAGATAATGGTAAGTTTAATGATCTGCCTTTGTGTCTACAACTGTAAATGCCAAAAATGTGATTTTGTTGGGGAGAGTTTTTGTTGTATAAGGCAAGGTCTAATGTTGTAGTCCATGCTGCCTCAAATCTTCTGTGTAGTGAAGGGTGACCTTGAACTCCTGGTCATTCTTCATTCTGTTTCTGCTTTCCAAGTGCTGGGATTTCAGGCATTCACCACCACACCCGGCCTAAAAATATTTAGGTTTGTTTTGTTGGGGGGCGGGTGTTTGTGTGTATACATGTGAGTCCAGTTGCCCCTGGATTTGAAGTAATAGGCAGTTGTTTACCACCCAGTGTGTGTGCTGGGAACCAGACGTGGGTTATCTGCAAAAGTAATAATGCACATGTAACCACTGAGCTATCTCTCTCTCCAGCTCAGAAATGTTTCAGTTGTTTAGTTGAGCCAGCATGGTAGCTCGCTCAGTGGCTCCCTATGGTTTCCTCCAGGCCTGGTGACCTCAGTTCAGTACCCAGACCATATGATAGAAGGGGAACCAACCCTGGCAAGTTGTCCTCTGATCACACGCACATGAGGAAGACGCACACCCACAACCCATGTGCACAAACCATCTAAGACTTTTCATTCGTCTGTGTGTATGGGTGTTTTGCCTGCATGTACGTATGTACACCATGCTTGTGCCTGATGCCCACAGAGGCCAGAAGAAGGTGTTCAACCCCCTGGGACTAGAGGTACAGATGATTGTGAGCCACCATGATGGTGCTGGGAATTAAACCAAGGTCCTCTTAAAAAGCAGCCAGTCTTAACCACTGTCTCTCCCCAGACCCAACAAAAAAATTAAAAATAGCATTAGCCTGCTCCTGGAAATGCTGAGAGTAACTTCTGAATTAATTGGCTTAACTTCTCAGGGCATGTACTTCGTCTCTTCCGTGCTGCTGATCCGAATGAGCATGCCCCCAGAATACCGTACCATCATCACAGAAGTCCTCGGAGAACTTCAGTTCAACTTCTATCACCGCTGGTTTGACGTCATCTTCCTGGTCAGTGCCCTCTCCAGCATACTGTTCCTCTACCTGGCTCACAAGCAGGCACCAGAGAAGCACATGGCACCCTGACCTCAGACTGTGCGATACCTGTACTGTATCAGACTGGGCTGTACCTGTACCAGGGCCTTAAATTCTTTAAACAGAGGAGCTGCTGGGGCCGCTTATTCTGCCTCCAGTACATGCCTTCTTCCTCCTGTGATACAGGAGTCATAAGTAGCTTCGACTAAGACAAGAGAGAGAAATCCCCACAGCATTCGGCAGGGAGCATGTGTGGGTCTGAGGCTGTGCAAAACGAGGGTGGGAGTCAGGGCATGAGGATATCCCGGTGCTCCTGAGAAGGTGGCTTCCCATGAAAAATTTAGTAAAATCAGAGTTTTAATACTATGGCCTTGGATTCACTTATCAAGCCCAGCTTGGTATGCTATGTTATTGTGGTCTAACGTGAAATGCATCCTTTTCTCCTCACCCAACTTTACCCCATAAAAATAACCAAAAAGGTTGTCTGTTCTTTTCTGGGAAAGGGATGATAGGCAACTGAAATAGATTTTACCAAGAAATTTTAGGTGTGAGTGAATGCCCTACACTAATCCAGCAGTGTCGTCTCAGGCTGTCTCCCTCTGCCTCTGGTGTCGTGGGAAGAGACAGTGAGTAGCTGTTAAATGCAACAAGCCCTCTCCTACCCTGAAACCAAGCTCTTGTCTATAAAAGGAGGGTGGTGGTGTTTTTTATTATGCAAATGCAATATAAGAAAATTCTGAAACATATTACCTGGAAGTCTCCTTTTATTACTAAGATCATAGTGTGTATGCTGCTGTTGGGGGCTGCTAGAAGCAAATGAAATCTTTACACAGAAAAAGGGCACTATCCAAATTCAGACCTTATTAGCCAACGGGGAAGTTGCAGGCAACTCAAAAAGCACCCTAATGCTTCTTAGCCACAGCACTGCCACAAAGCACACCTCTAACAGGATGTCTGCTTGATACTTTAATTAGCCACAGTCACACATACATGAATGAATCATCTCCGGTGCTCAAGAAGCACACAGAAGAGGTTTCCTCAACAGAAATGGAAGGTTGCACTTTGGAAGATACCACATAGAAAGAACCTGGCAGCTCCCTCTGGCTAAGTTGAGCAGTCCTTACAACAGCAGACAGTCACATGGAACTCCAGAGGGCTAATGGGATCAACAGAGAGCTCCTTCCTTGGAAAGGCGATTCCTGAGCATGTGAGAGGAATCCAGCAGCCAAAACCATCGTTCCTTCTCATCACATCTCTGTGTCCTCAGAGCTGGAAGAAGAGTCTGAGGCTGTGCTGTGAGTCTGTGTAAAAGAAAACCAAGGATTTACAGCGGCAGAGCGTGAGCAGCAGGAAGGAGAACACGGCTGATCTAAACTACATGCTAAGTCAGGGAGGAGAGCCGTGCATTTCTAGAAGACATGAGCTGCCGTCTATGCTTGGTTTCCTATTTAATGCAAACTATTAGTATTCAGTGCAAACAAAGTTCTCATTGTCTAGGTATATATACCTACATACAAACACACATATACTCAGTTTTCTATAAGACCACTATAATACTATATAACTGACATTCCCTATCAGTAGAATTAATACAATGGAAAGAAAAAGTGAAACTTTTCACCAGGAAATTTCCTTTATGAACTTGGATGTCAGTTAATTTTGAATCTCAATTCATCTATGAAGAAAAATTTGACTAGAAAAATTTCTGACAAAAATAATTTTAATACCTGCCACTTCTTAATAGTGACCCGGACCATCTCTGTTTTACCTCACTGTGAGCCAGGCTCCACTCTGAAAACAGTTGTATGCTTTACCCCTGTTTTATAGGAATGTTAAGTAGGAAAGCTGAAGCACAGGAAGTCCCCAGTGTGCAGCAGAACCACAGCTGGCTCCACAGAACCCAGCCGGGCTCTTTTAGTGCTCAGTGTCATGACTCTGATACTCTTCATTGACTGATCGCCAACCCCATGCTAAGAAAGTAACTTCACAAGCCACCATCCCAGCACTCAGGAGGTCTCAGTTCTAGACCAGCCTGGGCTCCACAATGAGGCCACATTTCTAAGAAAACAGTTGTTCGTGTACTACCTCTTATCCTCACAGAACCCTGAGAGGTTGGTTACCCTGTGTTAGTTTTTGGGAAATGGGCACAGGGACTGGATCCCAGAGAAGCAGATCATCACTCACTCGTTCTCTTGCTGGGTGGGAGTCATTCCCTGACTCAGCTGATGTTTCTCCTTGGCCATCAGGGCAAGCCACCAGGGGGTCAGCCAGGGAGGAAACGATGGGGATTTTCTTAGCTTGGAAGTAATCATAGGCCTTCTTTCCACAGACCAGGAGAGTGACATGTTCCCCGCTGCTCTTGACTCTGTCCACTACGTTCTCGTAGGTTTCGTCTTGCACATTTTCTCCGTTCACTTCAATGATGATGTCCTCATCCTCCAGCCCAGCCTTGTCAGCAGGGCCACCCTTCTGTACCTGTGAGCACAAGTTCTGGGGATCAGTTCCAAACACAGGCTACACTGTGTCAGGCAGCTTCCCTCCTGAAAACTTAACCACATCTTTCTCCTTGAAGGGCAATACCGCCTCTCCTCCAAACTGGCCAAGCACTGTACTGAATGTCTTTAGGCTGAAGGCATTGGGATCCCATGGGATTCCAACCTGAGAGCTTCACTGGTCTCACTGCCCATCCCTACAGGATGCAGGCACTATGACGCATGCACGAAAGCAGACAGGTAGCGCTCCTGGAGGTGGGGAATATGACTGCCACTGCAGCTAGCATGATGACGCATGGCTTGCACTGAAAATGCCGATCCTAACTGACTGCATTTGCTGGGCTGCTGGGACCAGTTTCCATACCTCTTTGACAAAGGGTCCTGGCTGACCCCGAATGGCATTCAGGTGAAAGCCATAGCTGTTGTCGACTTTAATCAGCCTACAGAGCTTGGGTTTATGATCTCCTGCATCCTCTGTAGTGTCTGGACTTGTGGCCTCCAGAGGAGCAGGCGCTGGGGCTGGAGCCTCCTTGACAGAGCCATTAGGGAGTTCTTGACTTTGGCAGTAGAGAAGTGGAGAAAAACGAGCCTTTTGAAAGTAAAAGGGGAAATGCACATATGAGCAGTTACACTTCATTAAACATGGTAGCTCAGTACACATGTCTGTTCCTCGATTGTAGGCTCTAAATTTCTCCACCACAGCCAGAGGTAGAAGAAGCATGTACAGATGCATATAGGTGTGTGTGTAACACAGAAAGAGTACAGGCAATCTGACAAATGACTAGCTTAACTCCACAAAAGCAGGCAGATCACTGACAACACTGCCTACACTCCTGTGGGGAACACCTCTAAGGGGCTAGCCCAAGTAGGTCTGCTCTCACTGTCCTCAATAAAATTGTTTTGTCTTTTTGGTTTTTTGAGACAGAGTTTCTCTGTGTAGCATCCTTGGCTGTCCTGGAACTCACTCTGTAGACCAGGCTAGCCTTGAATTCACAGAGATCCGCCTACCTCTGCCTCCCAAGTCCTGGGATTAAATATGTATGGCACCATTGCCCGATATTTTTAGTTTCTATATAATGTGCTTAAAGACAATTTGCCTGAGTCAGGGGCTAGATTTGGGTGTGCTTTGAACTTGCTCAGCAGTTAAATTGAGGTCAACAGGTATCCAGGACATTTGTTAGACACCAAGCAGTGAGGGAGGAACACTGTAGGAGCTTAGCAAAAATGAGATGTGCAGTCCATCTGCCTTCCTGCACACATTGCTCTTAGGAGCCAGGTTCCTGGCAGCCCTCAGAGATGTTTGCTAACTATCTGCTTCCACGGCTAGATGATATGGGAAATCAGAGTGACTCACCAGCGTAGCCCTGAGCTCTCCCCAGCAAGCAGAGCATCCGTGGGGATGGATGGCTGGTATCAAAGCACCCATCATGAAAAAAGAACTTTTATCCACCCCTTTGAGCACTCATGAGTCTAGCCGTCATCAGGAATTGTTAGGAGGGTTGACATATTCACTGCTGTATCTCAGAGATCCACCCCACCTCCACCCCAGCTCATGAGCCCACCTTCCAGAGTAGACAGACTCCCCTCTCACTTTAACCAAGACCAGGAAAATTACACTGACATTCTATCATAGATCCCCCCCCACCTCAGAATTACAACAAAACACTCGATGCCAGCATCAATTTACAACATCAAAACAGTTGCTTGCAGAAGTCAAGTTGTCCCCTTGTCTGATGGCTATGGTTGTTCTTAAGCCAGAATAGCTCCCTGTACTTTAAGTCATGGTACTGTGTAACACACAAAAGACTATTATCTATGATCAGTGTTCAGCATGGCAGATGGCACTTTGGCCCCCAGACATCTGTTGAACTGGTCTGAACCTTAGTTCTCATGATAACATATTATAAAACATTAACAGTGGGAGTGGAGATACTCAGGGGCTAAGAGCACATGCCACTCTTACAAAGGACCCAAGTTTGGTTCCCAGCACCCAGGTCAGACAGTTTACGGCTGCTGTAACTCCACCTCCAGGGGACCCAACACCCTACCCTCTTCTGGGCTCTGTGGGTGGGCACTGTTCTCACGTAGGCATACCGCACACAACTACACATATAAACATAATTTAAAAATAATAACAAGATATTTGTAGAAGTCTTAACACATGCAAACAGCTGTCAGAAGAAGAGGGAGTGAGGATCTTCATCAACCTGTTTTGTTCTTGGTGAGCCTGTTTCCACTGTGTTTATTAAGGACAGTGTGAATGAGAATCCCTATACAGCCTCTGGGTCTCCACTGAGGAGAGCTTCCAGCCCTGTGGAGAGGTTGCAATGCTGCAGGTGCAGAGCCCAGTTTCACTAGGGTGATCTGTAGCCTAAAGATTGATTCCTTACCCACCTCTAACATTCTGATAAACAAGCTGGAATGTATTAGTAAAATTTGATCTTTATCAACCAAAGGGCTACAGCTGTCACATGGTGTCTAAGGCCTCCGCCTCACTGTAATCTGCCCCTGTGTCCACAGATGTATTTTTTCAAGCCTTGATTTACACCTTTCTTTGTTCTGTTACTATAAAAACTCCATTAAACTGCTTCCATGTTGGAATGTGGTAGGGCTTGGGGTAACCTAAACCTGTGTTGTCAGATCATGGCCACTCAGATTTAACTCCAAAATAAATTCTTATTCCTTCTGAGGTTTTGCATCATCATCAACAACAAACTAATAAACCTTTCTAGGTCTGTACTCAAGACTGAAGAGTCTTGCTAACCAACAATATCACATCCATTTATCAGGACTGGAGAGTTGTTAAGAGCAGATTCCTGGAACACGAAAGGACTTTGGGAGCACATTCCCCATGGCGGGATACTCCCTTAGCCTAGAGATAGGAGAGAGGGCCTAGACCCTGCTCCAAATGACTTGACAGATTTTGATGATCCCTCCTGGAAGGCATCACTCTCTCTGTGGAGTGGGTGGGGAATGGGACAGGAAGGGGTGGGGGGTCACGGGAGAGAGGGGGGAGAGGGAACTGGGATCGATACGTAAAATAAGAAAAAAAGAATTTAAAAAAGGCAACAACAACAACAAAAAAAAAGAGCGCTCACCTCTTGCAGAGGGACCCAGGTTCTATTCCCAATACTGACAATAGATGGCTCACAGCCTCCTGTAACTCCAGCAGGAGATCTGACACCCTCACCTGACATTTGTACCTTCATGTACATAAGAACACATGCACAAACACACACACACACACACACACACACACACACACACACACAATGGGTCTAAAACCAAGTAAATCCATTTATGCCTGTGCCAGCTCTGAGAAGTCCGGACCACCTCTGTCCATTTTGAGATTCCTATTCTTGATAGCTTATCCCAGTTCAGCAAGACTAATTCTTAAGCTAATTTACAAATGCACAGTTTTTAGTCCAGGAATTTATAACTCATTCATCGCTCTCCTGTCACTACCAATTTGAGCCACAATTTGGCCCTAATGGTTGTTATGCCCCTTCCAGGCTGAAGAGCAAGGTAACTCAGCTCAAAGTCAGAAGGCATGTGTGAAGGCACCCAGCCTTAATGCATGAATACATGGTTATTATATTGAATATATGTGTTACTGGAATTACTTACCAGTTTGTAGATGTGATCTGCCTCTTTGTCCACCACCAACAGTGTAGCCTGGTCTCCGCCCTTCCTAATCATTTCCACCACACTGTCATGATCAAGGTCTTCCACAGACTCGCCGTTGACAGCAACTACCAAGTCATTGTTCTTCAAGCCAGCTGCCTCTGCGGGGCTTCCAGATTCTATGTCCTTGATGGTCTGGCCTACCCTCCCCACACAAAGCAAAGTTACCAGAAAAGCCCCCAAGTAAGCAAGCTCTGGGATTTCTGCTGGATCCCAAGGTCTGAAGAAATAGGTGTAAAGGCCCCAGGGGCCTACAAGTCTACTCTCCAGCCCATTCCAAACCAAGCCTCAAACAAGGAGAGAATCTTAAAGGAGTGAGAACCCAGTGTTCACTAAGTGTCTGATGGTTACTTTTGACAAAGTGGTGGGCTAAGAGGATCCTAGGAAGTCGTTGGGCATACTGCAAAAGCCACAAGTCATACCCAGCAAGTAAGCCTCAGAATGGAAAGGGCCAGTACTAGAGAAGGAGAAGCAGGAGGGTTCCAACCGGAGCACTCTGCCCCCACCCCATCCCCTGCAGTTGGTGGCAGGCTGGAGCTTGGTGAGCCAGCCCTGAGGATGAGGACTCACCTTCATACTCAGCGCCTGCCCGCAGATAGAATCCATAGCCATTGCTTCCCTTCTTGATCACCACCACCCGGGGCTGGTGGGGCAGCAGCTTCAAACTGGCTGTTTCCCTCTTGAACTGTGTCTTCTGTTCACTGTGGCGCTTGGCAGTTTCCTTGTCCACAAGGAGGAACACGATACGGCTCCCTGCCTTCTTCACCTGCAGCAAGACACCCAGATGAAGAGCAGGGGCCTCCACAAACAACACCGGGAGCAAAGCCACCGTGCAGTGCGGAAAGCTCGGGGTACGTGGCCTGAGCGTGACTGCTTCCCCCAGCCTGACTGGATGTATCTGTCTACTGGAAGGAAAACATCCAACCACACAGACGTTAACTGAACTCAAGTGAGGGCCCAAGTCCTCAAAGCCCAGAAACATGTGCAGGTGGGAAGGTGGGATGGGTTTTAGAAAAGAAAGTCAGGGTCAGCTTGCAAGGTTCCATCTGACCTCAACAAGACAGCCCTGCCCCAGGGTCAGCATGCTGTGGGCCTTCCAGAACCTGGCAGGTACAGTTTGTTACCCATGGGCATCCACACATGGAAACACTAAATGGAGACTCAAGGGATTACTTACAAGCTTAACATTGTATTGTTTTGAATAATGATGAAGTCCATCCCTTGCCACCCACACCTTCATCCAGAAGGTATCTAGCAGACCCATCTCTGTGCACTAGACCTGTCAGTCACTGAACGAAGCAGCCATCCACAGATGGCAGACAATAACTAATAAGCCTCACCTGTGCCGTTTCTGCCTCTGCACACATGCCTACGACAGTTTAACTTGGAAGCTGGATACAGTGACTAGCAAATAATTTCTAACAATGTATTGTCGTAATAGTTATTTAAACTTATGAGCCACCAATTTCTGGAAGTTTCTATCACTTTCAGATGTGGCTGACTACAAGTAAATGTAGAAATGGAGACTGAAAGAAGTTGGGGGTGGGGACCAGAGCCCTCAGCACTGCCCATACCACCAGCGTCTCGGCACCCTTGATGCAAACACCTAGGTGGCTGTTCTCCGTCACACACTCATCCAGCAGGCCCTACCACCCACCGCCCTGTCGCTTCCGATGAGAGCAGAGGGGAAGGGAGGTTTGAAATGTGCCTTTAAGGGTTACCTTTTCCACCACAGCCTCATGACTGTCACTCTCGACATTTTCTCCATTCACTTCAATCAAGTGATCACCGACCAGGACCCCAGCTCTCATGGCCACTCCCCCGGGCGTTATGTCAGTCAGGTACACACCCTTTTTACCTGAAGAAGAGTTAGAGAGAGAGTATTGCACAGGCATCTGCACATCTGGCAATAAAATAGTTCCCTCTGGATGCCTTTGGAGCCAACTCAAGAGTTGCCATCTGCCTGGGCTCTCAACTCAGTTACAGCTCTAGCACAAAGCTGGGCACTGCTGTTACTCAGCATGGGTCTGTTGGCTTGAAGAGAAAGTCTCAGTCTGACTGAAGAAAAGGCAAGACTGGAGAAAAGCCAGTGAGTTGGCTCAGAAAATAAATGGCTGGCGTTGGCCTCTCTAACCAGAAAGTACTAATCCATACCCATGCTGCATCTGCCTTTGCTTCTGTAGAATTGGAAGTCATCCGCTCCATCCTCCCCTTTAAATGGTACCATCACAGACTGCTGGAGTCCATAAACCTCTGTAGCAGCACAGCAAGGTTGGAGGAAGAGGAAAGGGAACGTGTGTGTGTGTGTGGTGTGGTTTGCTAGTACCCTTTCTAGATGCGAACATTTCCATCTGTTCTAGGGAAAGCTTTATGTGGTCATATGCATTACTTTAAAGAGTAGAAGGACCATCAACTCAGTTTCCTTGAACACTTAACAGTTCTCCTACTGCAGTAGACACAAAGATGGCACCTATGATGGGACTTGCTAGCTCTTGACTTATGACACCTGGGCCCTCCATGCTCCTGGTCACACGTGGCTGCGTTGAAATAATTCCATGATGCAAAACTTCTCACCATCCCTAAAAAGTAATAAAATGCCAGACCTTTCCTGTGCTCTGGGCTCAGGTAGCTCCAAAAGTTGATCACTGAAGAGGTTCCTCCAGCCCCCACTGCCATCCTTCTCATGTGGTTGTCTCATTCATTCATTCATTCACTCACTCACTCACTCACTCACTCACTCACTCACTCATTCATTCTCTCTCCTCTCCAGGCTTTAAAGAGATGCCTGCCCTTCCCTTTAAACCCCCACCACGCTTGACTCCATATATTGTGTTGCCTACTGTCCCCCCTCCCACCCCAGGCCCTCTCTCAATCTAATAAAACTCACTCCTGAAGGGAATTGTGTGTCAGCGTCCTCCCTAAGCCAATTGCTGTGTGGCTTCTTTTATAGTCACCATTGTCTTGTACGTTGTCAGGAAGTAAACATTCTCTCCATAAAAACCACTCACTGCGTGCATCCGCATAAGAGCCAATGGTGTAGACTGTGAACTCTGACTTTTTAGGTTGTGTGTGTTGACATCACACACACACACACACACACACAAAACCATATATGTAGAAGTCAGAGTTGGTTCTCTCATCCCACCAAGAGAGGCTCTGGGGATTAAACCCAGGTCATCAGGCACCTCTACCCACTGAGCCAACTCAGCCCCCCACCCCCCCGCTTTTGTTTAACACCATTTTACTGTTAATAGATTTCTAAGACATAAGACATGCCAAGGTTCTTTGACCCTCAACACCACTGTGTTTAATAATACTGATGTGAAGACTGTCTCTCCTGGTTTTAATTTCTGTCTCTTGCTAGAGGTTACATAACCTCTGAAAACAATTTAAATTGTCCGATGGTCTTCTCCTTTACCTTCCACAAAACACAACCCACCATCAGTTCTCTCCCAGACCAGAGAGAATATAAGCAGAGGCAACACTAGTGTTAGGTGATGAACTAACACTCACTCATGGCCCTTTCTCATCATAAAGCTAACTTCCGAAAAGACAGTCATGTGTCAGCATCTTTTCTGAACCTGCCAACCTCTTTTCTGTTTAACAGTTAAATATGGAGCTAGCCAGGTAACATGGCTCCCAATTCTGCCCAGTTTCCCAGGGGAAATGCTAAAGAACTCCAGTGGACAGTACAGCATGGTGCATTCCTCTGAAACCACAGAAACAGGACCTCTAGGACTCCCTCAGGGCCGGGAATTCTCAAGTATGTCCTTTGCAGCATAGGTCAAGGACATGTCTTAGGACAGTTGAGACTAGGCTTCATTTGATTACTATAATGTCATAGGAGGACAGGTACAGCAACTCTGCGGTTGTAACACAGCAACAGATGCTCAAAAATCTGTTGAATAAGGCTACGCTGAGCCATGAAAAGAGATGTCAGTCTCACTCAAGGTAGCTATCAAGAAGAAGCTGCCTCCCCTGCATCTTCAGCCTTAGGGAGCTAGAAAAGAACAATGAAGCCAGGCAGTAACAGTGCACACCTTTAATTCCTGCACTTGAGAGGCAGAGGCAAGTGGATCTCTGTGAGTTCTAGGCCAGCCTGGTCTATAGAGTAAGTTCCAGGACACCCAGGGCTACACAGAGAAACCCTGTCTTGAAAAAAAGGTAGAAGGCCCAAGCCTCAGACCTGGAGCAGCGTCTGTGGAGGCCCAAATCACCATCCTAGAAGCAATGGCAGAGGGAGGCCAGAGCCTCAGGCCCAGGAATAGGGAGTGACCATCATTCTACTGCATACAAGAAACACACCTCAACCTCACAGATGCTACCTCAGAGTAAAGGGTTGGAAAAAAGTTTCCAATCAAATGGACCTAAGAAACAAACTGGTGTAGCTATCCTAATATCTAACAAAATAGACTTCAAACTAAAATAAATCAAAAGAAGATAAAGAAGGGCATTTCATACTCACCACAGGAAAATTCAATTCTGAACATCTATGCCCCAAACACAAGGGCTCCTGCATTTGTAAAAGAAACATTACTCAAGCTTAAATCACAAATCAAGCCCCACACACTAATAGTGGGAGACTTCAACACCCCACTCTCATCACTGGAAAGGTCTGCCAGACAGAAACTTAACAGAGAAATAAGGGAACTAACAGATGTTATTACTCAAATGGACTTAACAGATAGCTATAGAACATTCTACCCAAACACAAAAGAATATACTTTCTTTTCAGCACCTCGTGGAACCTTCTCAAAAAATAGAACACATACTCGATAACAAAGCAAACCTCAACAGACACCAAAAAAAAAAAAAAAAAAAAAAAAAAAAAAAAAAGTAATAACCCCTTGTATCCTATTATTGGATCACAGCTTAAAGTTAGAATTCAACAGCAACATTAATTTCAGAAATCCCACAAATACATGGAAATTGAACAGTGATCAACTGAACCACCACTGGGTCAAGGAAGAAATAAAGAAATTAAAGACTTTCTAAAATGTAATGAAAATGACTGCACAAAATACCCAAACTTATGGGACACGGGACACGATGAAAGCAGTGCTGACAGGAAAGTTCCCAGCACTAAAGCCTACATGAAGATGCTGGAAAATCCCACACTAGTGAATTACCAGAACAACTGAAAGCGCTAGAACAAAAAGAAGCAAACTCACCCAGGAGTAGGCAGCAGCAAGAAATAGTCAAATTGAGGCCTGAAATCAATAAAATAGAAACAAAGAAAATGACGCAACGAATCAATGAGACAAAGAGTTGGTTCTTTGAGAAATTCAACAAAATAGACAAACCTTTACCCAAACTAACCAAAAGACAGAGAGACTATCCAAATTAACAAAATCAGAAACAAAAAGGAGGACATGACAACAGACACCGAGGAAATCCAGAGAACCATCAGGTCATACTTCAAAAGCCTGTACTCCAGAAAATTGGACAACTTTCTAGATAAGTACCACATACCAAAATCAAATCGAGAACAGATAAACAACTTAAATACATCTGTAACCCCTAAGGAAATAGAAATAGTTATCAATAGTCTCCCAACCAAAAAGCCCAGGCCTAGATGGTTTCAGTGCAGAATTCTACCAGATGTTCAAAGAAGAACTAATACCAATACTCCTCAAATTATTCCACATAATAGAAATAGAAGGAACATTGCCAAACTCTTTTTTTTACAAGGCTACAGTTACTCTGGTACCAAAACCACACAAAGCACAACTAGGAAAGAGAATTACAGACATAGGTCCAAAAATACTCAATAAAATACTGGTAAACAGAATCCAAGAACACATCAGAAAAATCACACACCATGACCAAGTAGCTTTTATCCCAGAGATGAAGAGATGGTTCGACATATGAAAATCTGCAAATGTAATCCACCATACAAACACACTGAAAGAAAAAAAAATCACATGGTCATCTCACTAGATGCTGAAAAAGCCTTTCACAAAATTCAGCACCCCTTCATGTTAAAGGTCTTTGAGTGGATAGGGATACAAGGAACATACCTAAACATAATAAAGGCAATATACAGTAACCCAACAGCCAACATCAAACTAAATGAAAAGAAATTCAAAGCAATTCCACTGAAATCAGGAACAAGACAAGGCTGTCCACTCTGTCCATATCCCTTTAATATTGTACTCAAAGTTATAACTATAGCAGTAAGGCAACAAAAGATGATCAAGAGGATACAAATTGGAAAGGAAGGTGTCAAACTCTGGCTATTTGCTGATGATAGTTTACACGAGTGACTCCAAAAATTCTACCAGGGAACTCCTACAATTAATAAACACCTTCAGGAATATAGCAGGATACAAGATTAACTAAAAAAAAAAAATCAGTAGACCTCCTATATACACAGATGATAAATCAGAGAAATGTCACCCTTTACAATAGCCATAAATAACATAAAGTATCTTGGGGTAACCCTAACCAAACAAGTGAAAGACCTGTATGGCAAGAACTTTAAGCCTTTAAAGAAAGAAATTAAAGAAGATATCAGAAAATGGAAAGATTTCCCATGCTCTTGGATAGGTAGGATCAACATAGTAAAAATGGCAATCCTACAAAAAGCAATCTACAGATTCAATTCAATCCCCATCAAAATCCCAGCACAATTCTTTACAGATAGACCTGGAAAGGAAAATACTTCATTTGGAAAAACAAAAAACACAATATAGCTAAAACAACCCTGTATAATAAAGAAACTTCTGGAGGAATCACCATCCCTGACTTCAAGCTCTAATATAGAGCTAGAGTAATGAAAACAGCTTAGTGGACCAATGGAATCAAATCTAAGACCCCAATATCAATCCACACACCTATGAACACCTAATTTTTGACAAAAAAGCTAAAAATATACAATGAAAACAAGAAAGCATATTTTAAAAATGATGCTGTAAACATGTAGAAGACTGCAGGTAGAACCATATCTATCACCATGCACAAAACTTAAGCCCAAATGGATCAAAGACCTCAATAGAAATCCATCCACACTGAACCTCACAGAAGAGAAAGTGAGAAATATACTTGAACACATAGGCACAGGAGACCACTTCCTAAATAGAACACCAGTAGCGCAGACTCTGAGCGCAACAATTAATAAATGGGACCTCCTGAACCTGAGATGCTTCTGTAAAGCAAATAAAACAATCAACAAGACAAAACGGCTCCCTACAGAGTAGAAAAAGATCTTCACTAGCCCCATATCTGACAGAGGGTTGATCTCCAAAATATACAAATAACTCAATAAACTAGACATCAAACTACTAAATAATCCAATTTTAAAAAATGGGTACAGATCTAAACAGAGAATTCTTAACAGAACAATCTCAAATGGTAGGGAGACACTTAAGGAAATGCTCAATATTCTTAGTCATCAGGGAAATACAAATCAAAACAACTCTGAGATTTCATCTTACACCAATCAGAATGGCTAAAATCAAAAACACCAATGACAGCTTATGCTGGAAAGGATGTGGAAAAAGGGAACATTCCTCCGTTGCTAGTTGGAGTCCAAACTTGTATAGCCTCTGTGGAAATCAGTATGGTGATATCTCAGAAAAATAGGAATCAACCTACCTCAAGACCCTGCAATACCACTGTTGGGCATATATCCAAAGGAGGCACATTCACACCACAAGGGCATTTACTCAACTATGTTCATAGCAATATTATTCATAATAGCCAGAACTTGGAAGCAACCTAGATGCCCCTCAACCAAAGAATGAATAAAGAAAATGTGGTACATTTACACAATGGAGTACTACTCAGTGGTAAGAAACAGTGACATCCTAAACGTTGCAGACAAATAGACAGAACTAGAAAAAAAAAAAAAAAAAAAAAAAAAAAAAAAAACCAAAAACATCCTGAGTAAGGTAAATCAGACCCAGAAAGACAAATATAGTATGTACTCACTCATAAGTGGATACCAGACACAAAGCAAAAGATACCCAGCCTACAATCCACAATCCCCAGAGAAGCTAGAAACCTCTTCTAGAAACAGATGCAAGCAAATGCAGAAATCCACAACTAACCAATGGGCCAAGCTCCTGGGGTACAATTGAAGTGAGGGAGGAATGATAATATGAACAAAGGAGTCAGGACCATGATGGGGAAACCCACAGAATCAGCTGACCCGAGCAAGTGAGAGATCACTGACTCAGGTCTGACAAAGGGGGAATCTGCATAAGACCGAACTAGACTCCCTTAATATAGGTGGCAATGGTGAGGTTGGGCCTAATGCACAAACTGACTTAGTGGAGCCCATTCTATATGGAGAGATTACCTAGACACAGGAGTGGGGGGCGGGCAGGTGCCTGGGTCTTCCCTCAACAAGATGATGGGACAGACTTAGTAGACTTCCCAGGGGAGGCCTTACCCTTCTCTGAGGAGCAGATGGGAGGTTGGGTAGGGGGAAGTGGGTGGAGCAGAAGGAGAGGAGGGAGGGGAAACTGGGATTGGAATGTAAAAAAAATAAATTAACAAATTTTAAAAAAGAAAAAACAAAGTAAACCAAACAGTGAAGAGGTATCAGTCAGTCCTTGAACCACTGGCCTCAAACGGGAAGCCTGATAAACACTAGGGAAAGAGTCCCCCACTCAGCCCTCACGGCTGCCCAAAGTCGGATCCCTCTTTGTGTAACTGCAGAGAAAGGATTGGTGCTGGAGACAAGGAGGGGCGTGACATTGCTGTAGACAATAGCAGTTGCAGAGACTGTTGTTACCAACACCGGGCTTCTGGAAGGCTAGCGCTCAGCCCATCCTAAGCTCACCTTGGGTGGTTTGCAGAGAGAAGCCGAAGCTGTTGCCCTCCTTCACCAGGTAGCAGAGCCGGGGCTGGGCACATGTCTCCAGGGCTCCATTCGTCAAAGGGCTGGGTTTCTTATCATTTGAAGCCGGTTCCTTCTGGCTTTGATCCAGTTCTTTCAAGTCTACCTGTTTTTTTACAGCCTTCTCGTAGGATTTTCCATCCAGAACCAGCAGAGTCACTGAGTTCCCACTCTTTCTCACCAGATCCACCACCTTTGAAGAAAGGGGAGTGTTAAAAGGATACCTTGCCTGTTAATCTTCCACCCCACCCCACCCCGTCAACTGCAGGAGGAAGATGTTTGTTGTGTGTCCCCAAAGGTCTGGCCGCTGACCCAACACTCATACCCTAAGCGGAGGGGGACCAGACACCTTCACCCTAATACTCCCAATGTATAGGGGAGGTTTAGACTGGGCCCCTGGCACTGTGGGAATCCAGGAAGCCCTTACAAGGATTGGTCTTTCCCAGAACTGGCCTTTTCCAGAGATTAATGCTCTAGAACAGTGGTTCTCAACCTGTGGGGAACGACCCCCTTGGTGGATTGAATGACCCAACCCTTTCACAGATACCCTGCATATCAAATATTCATAAATCTTAGCAGTAGCAAAATTATAGTTATGAAGTAGCAACAAAAGTAATTTTATGGTAGGGGTCACTTACCTCACAGCCATGAGGGACTGTAATAAAGTGGCGGCTTTAGGGAGGTTGAGAGGGATGGCGTGGTGTAGTGAAAGGGGAATGATGCTGTGTGGGAAAAGGGTTACCTTTCCCGTGCAGTCGCTACATGAATGTTAACAGCTAAGTCACCTACACATGGCTGCCTCATCTTTGCAGCCATTTATGCCTCACAGGCTTGTGCTGAGGGCTACAACTTATTCAGATAAAATTGTCTAGCACGTGGCAAATGGACAATGAATGTCTGACCTGACACTATCACAGTATAACATTGTTTAACTGATTGGTTTTTAGAATAGGGCATCGGCCATGGCCCATGAACATGGACACTTGTGGAAATCAGTTTCTCTCCTTCCACCATGAAGGAAGGTCCCAGGGATTGAACTCAGGTTATCAGCCTTGGTAACAAGCACCTTTGCCCACTGAGTCACATAATACTTTTTACAGTCCTCAGTTAATCATAAGCAATTAGACTGGCCACCATAAAATATGATAGATCCTTGCCAGTGGTAGGCAGAAGAGAACCAAGCTCCCCTGATTCCCAAAATCACAGTGGGCAGGGATGTGGAGGCTGAAGAGGTGTTAGAAGAACCCACGTGTCTATTCACCTGTGCGTGCTCGTCCTTGTCCACAAAGATACCATTGATCCTGAGAACTCTGTCCCCATCCAGGAGCCCTGCCTTCTCTGCTGGGCTCCCCTTCTCAATCACTCGGACCAGGTGGCCATCAGTGTCTTTCTCAATGCGCAGGAAGAAGCCATAGTTCTGCCCCTCTTGTTTGGACAATTTGCACTCTCTGGGGTTGAAGGTGGAGGCCATTTCTGTAATGAAAAACAAATAGATAAATCCACAGGCAAGGAAATCTTGCTGAATCATGAAACCCTGAGTCTCCATACATAACCTATGCCTCTGCTGTCCAGCTGCATTCTACTGTGCGCTGCATAACAACACTGGGGCTCCAGGGAAGCTTTGTGCAGATCACATGCACGATTTCCAAATCTGCTCCCCAAGAATGGCCTTTTTACTTGTTTGAGACCCACGTGTTCCACTGAGTACTTAACACAGAAGCTTTAGCTTCAGTAGCTCCAACCAAACTCATCCTTGTCCCTTGCCCGAAAAGGTGACATCTAAAAGCATGGTCCAGAAAGTTTAAGAAGCCAAATCTACCTTCTTTTAATTATCATGCAAAATAATAGGCTTCATTTGTGCATGTGCTGGGTTTTTGGTGGTGGTGGTGGTGGTAGTGCATGTGTGTGTGTATGTGTGCATGTATGTGTGCCTGTGTGTGTATGTGTGTGTGTGTGTGCCTGTGTGTGTATGTGTGTGTGTGCATGTATATGTGTATGTGTGTGTATGTAAGTGCATGTGTGTATGTATATGTGTGCATATGTGTGTGTGTGCATGTGTGTAGAAATCAGAAGTAGTATCAGGTGTCTTTCTCAATCCTCTCCACCTTATTGAGACAGATTCTCTCAATGGACCTCAAGTTCACAGATCTGACTATAGCAGCTGGCCAGCAGATCGGAAGTCCTCCATCTTTGCCTCTCCAGCATGAGGACTGCAGACACAGGCCACCACGTCCAGCCTTTTACAGGGTTTATGGGGATCCAAATTCCCGTCCTCCAGCTTGCACAGTAAGCATTGTAATGAAGCAATCTGTCTTCCCGGCCCCCAGAAATGTCATTAGGACATTCTCACACATGTGTTCTGGCTGTGCCCACCTCCACAAAGCACACTTTCACTCAAATATCTGGTGAGTCTTTCAGGTTCTGGGTGTTGAGGATAAACCTGTGAATAAGAGGAACTAGTTGGTGGCGCATGCCTTTAATCCCAGCACTCAGGAGGCAGAGATAGACGGATCTCTGTGAGTTGGAGGCCAGCCTTATCTACAGAGCTCGTTCCAGGACAGGCTCCAAAGCAATACAGAGAAACCCTGTCTCAACACCCCATCCCCCCAAAAAAGAGGAACTAAACCCTGCCTTTCAAACTTGGGAAAATATTTTTTTCATAATTATACTTTTAAAACAAAATGTGGTGTATGGCCTGCTGTGGAAGAACTGAGAGATACAGGGTGACACAATGAAGGTCTTTGGAAAGAAGGGATGGGCTGGGGAGAAATAAGACTAGCTCCCTGGAGAAACGACTTTCCAAGAGTGCAGAGCTAGTGGGAGTCAGGTGAAGCAGGACAGGGCAAGGCAGGCTTCAAACAACTAAAAAGAGGAAGGAGGGGGGAGAGGGAGGGGAGGGAGGGAGGGAGGGAGGGAGGGAGGGAGGGAGGGAGGGAGGGAGGGGGGACAGAGGGGGACGGAGGGAAGAAAGGAAGGCCAGGCCTCGGAGCTAGCTAATGTGTTGGTAATGCAATAGAAAAGATGGATGCACCCCTGGCTTGTGCAAACTAACTAAATGCAGTGGGCACACAAAAAAATTTCATGAAAAGGGGCCTTGGGAAGTAGGGGTTCGGGAGAAGAGGACAGGGGGGTAACCTGGAGATATGATCAAAATATGTGGCATATACATGTGAAACTGTGAAGTCATCAATGTGGGGAAGAAGGGAGCTGGCTGTAGGTGATCCAGAAGTTTCTAGTCAAAGTAAGGATGCCCAAGAAAAGACTCCAGTGGCAGGTTAAGGGCTGCCCCTCCCAAGGCCACCTCTGTCTCCTCCCATCCGGCCCCTCCTGATGAGCCACTACAGGAAGACGGCTGGGAACCAGAGGAGAGGAACTGTGAACAGCAGTTGTGCCCTTGTTGCTGGGGGGGGGGGGGGAGGACACTGCTAGTGCTCCAGGCCTCCCAGCGCAGCCCTGTGCTTTCAAGGCAGACGGGTGGGGCCAGCCCAGCAAGGGCTCACGAGAAGCCAAGGGCCAGGATGGCTGCTGCCAGCTCCTTCAGTTGTCTTCAGGGCAAGCTCTGTGTTCCCCTCATCCCTTTGCTCCAGAAGGACAGGGGACAGGAAGAGGTGACTATAGAAGACATGGAGGAGGAGAAAGAAAAGCAGGCAACATCAGGCTGCAGGCTCCCTAGATGCTTGCTGTGGCAATTCGAGATGCCATTTGACCTTGGTTCCCACAGGGGCAGGCAGCAGAGCTGGCAGGAAAATCTCCACTACCTGTGGCTCTTTCATGCTCTCCTCTCTCTCTCTCTCTCATGCTCGCTCTCTCTCTCTCCTGTAAAGCTGAGCGAAAATGTCTGTGGTCAAAGAAACCCAAGAAAAGGCCCCATCAGGCACCAAGAGGAGAGAAAAGCGAAGCCGTGTGCACCAGGGGCCATCTCCCACACCTTGCGAGAGAATAGCTGCTCTCCCACATCAAAAGGCACAACCCGGAAAAGGGCCCTTTGGGGAGGAAGGGGCTAAGTGCAGACGCCAGCAGCCAGGACTCCTCACTTGCAGACATCTGCTTCCAATCTGTTCGACTTTGACTTGGTAACTCTGCTCTTTCTGCTCAGTCTGTACGCATCATTTCAGTTTCCCCGCACACGCGGCCTCCTCTCAAGACCCTGGTCAGTTCTCAACACCACCGGGCTGAGAACCTTGAAGGGACCACATTCCTTCACGTAAGCACTGGGCAGCCTCCTCCAAATGCTTCGGATTCAGAATGTGCCTTTACAACCAGAATAAAGGGTGCTGGGTTCTGTGCGCTCATCAGAAGAGGTGGCTGTGTTTGGAGTCGACAGATGAATGTTCCTTTTTAAGGCATCCAACTCAGCTGTCTCCCATCCTGGGGTGACCACCACAGGATCCCTCCTTCTCCTCCTCTGCAGGCCAAAGATGGAAAGTGAAATCCCTCCCTCCTAGAGGAGACTGTCCTGGGGGATGTTTTCCCATCTCACTGGAGACCCAAATGCCCGACATGCTGAAGAGACGTGGGTTTACTCTTTCTTGGCACAATCTCAAGCTGCGTCTTGTTGGGATGGCTGTTCAGTTTCTAAACACTAGACTGAGAACAGCGAGACCTGTACCCGAGGCTCGAAGGGACTCAGGTACACAAGGTCATCATTTCTACCCACAGCTGTGGTTGAATCAGGGTTAGCACCAGTCCACAGCAACAGCAATTCTGAAATGGCATCATGCCTCGGGGAGATGTTAGTGCTTCCAGCTCTGTTCGGTTCCTGCCACACCTGCATTACAGTGATCCAACCACTGAGGGACTAATGCTGGTCCAACCAAAGGCACAAGCCTCTTTCCCTTAGTGTTATAGGAAGACAATTCACTTTGGTTCTAAGGGGCCCTGATCCATTCCACTCCTGATTTTGTCTAGTCTGCATCCCAGTTTTATGTGGCTCCTACATCAGGCAGGGCCGGTCACTTTAGCACATCTGTGCCACCCCTGCCTGAGGAGATGTCTGGACCCTGAGCTTAGGCCTAACTAGGAGGACATCGTGCTTCAGGATGTTTCCTGTTTTGGCAGCCTCCTCCCCCCAGTCTACTTCTTGGTGAGGAAATCTGAGGGCCAGGCCTTGACGGTGGGTGTGTAGGTAATTAGTGGAAGACTTGCTGATTTCTAGAATATCTCAAAGTGCCTCTACTCCCAATTATCAAAACACTGGAGATGAAGGGAAGCTGTGACCCCTGTCTGAACCAATATGCAAAAGCCAATTATTGGCAACAACGTTACTGGTATGGGGGAAATAATAAATTCCCTGTGCGGGTAGATAGGAAAGAACCAAGGCCCTGTGCAGACAGACAGATAGCAAAGGCTTAGAATATCTGTCATCACTTTTTGATAATGTTACTCTCACCTTTAGACTCCACTTTCTTCCAAAGCAATTGGAGTCTTCCTATCAAGAAAGAATAATCTTCCTAGCTCCAGAAGCTCTAAGCATTGTGCAAATTAGGAAGGCAAGAAATTGGACACAGGAGCATTAGGATGCTCCTCTGCCAGGGATCAGAGTAGAGAGGATTCAAGTGACTAGGCTTTTTTCCCTGTACAGAAAAGAAATAACTAACAGGACCAGAAGGTGGCTGCTACACCCAGGCAGGCAGGGCTTCTCAGCTCACCATCCTCACCACAGTCCAACACTCTTCACTGACTGCTCCATACAGGCCAGCTGGAAGCCAGAGCTGGAAGCTGTGCCTGAAGAGGTCAGGGCCACTGAGACCCAAACAGCCAGCCGGTCCAGCTTAGTTGGCAAAGGCTAAAAGGAAGTCTTGCTTTGGCCTCAGGTTGTGTGTTGGGGTTGGAAGCTGCAGGGCTTTCCACACACAGCTGTGTGGAGGAAGGTAGGACACTATTTTTATTGCTTCCTCCATGAGAAGGGCTTGTGGGAAGACCTGCCTGTCCTGTCAGACTGCTCCATGCAAAACTCCATCCGAAGCCTCCGTTCGAAGGTAATGTTCCATGTAGGTGGAAATGTCCTACTAAGAAATGCCACTCATAAGCCAACCCAGACAGGCGGGGGTGGGGGCTGGGGGTGGGTATAATGCCATTAAACATCAGCTTCATGATCTCTTGAAAGGATTTGGGAATCTCAGCTTCAGTGGGAACCCGACAAGAAAACTGTGCTCCAGAGATATGAACATGGGATTCCCAGAAACATGTTATGCTCAAAACACAGGAGTCCGATGTGGTAGACACACTTTTGATCCTAGCACTTGGGAGGCAAAGGCAGGTTGATCAGTTCAAGGCCAGCCTGGTCTACAGGGCAGAAGCCAGGTCACATAAGGGCTCAGAGATGGGTGTTGGCTCTTGCCTTGGATCCGAGTTTGATCTCTGGTATGGTTTGAATAGGAATGGCCTCCATAGACTCATGAGTTTGAATGCTTGGCCCATAGGGAGTGCTTTGTTGGAGCCGACGTGGCTTTGTTGAAGGAAGCATGTCACTAG